CGTATGACGGGCCGCTTGCAATTATAACCCCTTCAGGCACAAACTATGATGCACTGTCTGCAAATGCACCAAATTGACATGACACGATTTCAAGGCACCCAGTATTACATTCTAAAAAAGAAAATGAAGGAATGTGTTGTTTCGCGTGAGTTTTGAGCAATTAATAATAATTAGCACATAATTAATGATACTTAGCACATATTTAAATAGTTCACTATTTTGCAATTACACTGCTTCAATTCTCACACAAAAATAATAAAATATTAGGCTCAAAATACATGCACAGTTTGTTTCTTGGTTGTATTCATTGCGAGCAAAAAAAAAAAAAGAATACTGATGACACTGGTTCTGGAACAAAGCACACTGAAAATTTACTGAACATGGAACGCTTATGGTCAACTCAGAAAGGCCACACGAATGTGCACACTGCCCTTCGAGCCATTTGAAGAAATACGCACTGCGTGATGCACCTCGAATGCTTATGTGTACAATTGTACACATGGACACTGAAGGGGATAACGCGGGCATGCCAAGCCGAGTGCAGCAATGTGCTCTCCACAGCTTCGCGTTAAATACCACTTTTGCATTCGCTTGTGTGTGTGTGTGCAACACATAAAATAAAGATAAAGCAAAACGTAATTTTCATCAAGCGGTGCTGACCTTAGCTACATGCGAGCACTTCAACGGGCCCCGCAATATTGAAGTGTTATTTGCGTCATATATTTCGAGGGTTGTTTAAAACAGACGTGCGGTGGAAGTGACATCATATTTCCACTTTATTTTTGACAGCTCCATGCAAATACCGGTGAAAATGAGGTTTGAGGCTATTTGCAGCACACTCGCGTGTTCCCTCTCATATCACTCGTGACGGCACCTACTTGGAGGCGCCGTTGCAGTCATGAGTTCTTCTGGCAATGGCGGGCTGCACGGATGAATCGGCATCATGCGGCATTGCTTCTGCTACTTGACTGAGACATTCCGAGAGGCTCAGCTTTCAATACATGCAATGAATTGGACACGGACGGTGATGCTCAAACCAGCAGCACATGTGGGAATTACTTTGGCACTCCCTTACGAAGGCGATACCTAAGTGCACGGCGGTGCTATTCAATATCAGGTATTTACGAAACCGGGTGCAGTCACCGGTGAATTCTTTCAGAGTAGGATGTTTTTGGACCATGATTTTTGGATGTGCTTCTCACACACATGAACACCATTGAACAATGGCAGCCGAAATTTCCGACAACAAACGGTGCGTGGCTAACTTTTTCCAATTCTCTCCTAGTACTCAATGTCACAAAGATGTATGGCACGCTTGGACAAAGTTGCCACTATTAAGGTGACAGCCTGTATCGGGCCATGAATCATCAAGGCAGCGAGTGTGACAGTACGGTGACCAGTTCTGCCCGATTTATTCAGTCACATTTATGCGGTGGAAATGGAGAATGCCCATCAGATCAACATGTGATAGCGTAGAGCAGTGGTTTTCAAATAAAGGTCCGTGGACTCTAGGGGGTCTGCTAAACCATTTATATGATCCACAAAACCCTCACCCGCTTAAAAAAAAAAAAGTCTTAAGGGGGGACACGGGTCTTAGAAGGCCAAAAATCGCAAAAAAATCAACTTTTTGAAGCTGACATTTTCGGAATCTGCGCCTATTTTCGCACTTATCTAAGAAGTTTCTAGCTTCTCGCGTCATTATTTCTGGCATAAAATCAATTTATAACATCCTTGTGAGATGAATGTGAGCGCAAATTCACGCTAAAATCACGCTTTTTCCGTGCCAAACTGTTGCCGTTACACACGAGCTATCGTGTTCATCTTGGCCTCGTTTAGAAGGGTCATTCTTCATCTTCAATTTCCCGCCACCGCTGGCTCACCTTGCTCATTGGTTTTTTAGCAAAAACACGTCGTCGAGAAGCACTAGCGCGCGATTCAATTGGCTGCTTGGGGCACGTGACCAAACCTAGGCATCCGATTGGCCAAGGGGCGCTTTCGGCGTCTGCTTCACCATCGTGACGCGCACGGACATGCGCCATTTTGTCATGGTGCTACTGACTGCTTGCAACAGTAAAGAAGTTCCGTGCTACAGTAATTTGTGAAGTGGGTGTGGCGGTCGTTCGTTCACTGTGAACTTCAGAAAGATCCCCGCTATGGCTCAAGACAACGAAGATAACGAACTCGACGCGGTCAATGGCGGTCGCCGAGTCACCTGTGTAGGCCTAACGCACGTACGAGCCCGTTGGTTGCCGACAACGTTACCGAGAACGGCTACGTTACCGAGAACGGCTGTGTTTTTCAGCCTTATCAGTTAGAGGACGGCAAGTAAAAAGCAGAAGTGAAGCTACAAGAGATATCAATCTTTGTAGTGATGGAACAGAAGCGCGATCTTATCGCTAAACCCAGGCGATGTCGTGGTTCCCCCCGCCTGACGAAAGGACCTTGAACTGCGCGACGAGTCGTCAGAGTGGAGTGCGCTGCCCGTCGACCAACAACAGAAAGTCAATCCGTTCGCAGTGAACATGCTCGCGGCCCCCGCAATGGAGGCTATTGGCAACAGGTAGACTGCTTTTAAAGACGTGTTCGCAATGTTGTCGCGATCTCCGCTCGAAAATGCGGCAGTCTTACGTGAAAAAGAAACTAACACCGCAGCACTCGTGTAGCCTCGAAATTGATGAGCGAGGGAGCAACTTTGGTTCGCGACACTTACGGGTAACTTATTCTGGACAAGCCGGAAAACATCGCCGCGCTATTCGACGGATCATAGATGACGCACGCACAATTGTCGCACATCGCCGTCAGTAAAGTCACTGAACTGATAAGCGGCCTCGCGGCAGACGAGCACACGGCGACAACTTGCTACAGGACTACAAGAAACGACACGCTCGTACAAACAATCAGTCCTGTTACATTCCTGGTGCATATTAACTGACTAAAAGTATGTGTGCCATGATATTTTTCCCTCGGAACGGCGAAATTAAGTTTTAACAGCATTATTCTCGAAGCACAGATTTTGACCACTTTCTTTTGCTTGTTCGGTGAAAGTGGACTTAAGACAGCAAGAGCTGTAATTGTTTTTGCACAATGTAGCTAAATGTGCACAAAAAACAATGCTGGGAGCCTATTTTTAATGAGCAGCTTCATTTTTTTTTAATATAAAAATTTCTGTATTTGGTTACATGCAATGAACTTTACTGTGCTGTAATTCGAGAAGCACTCGTTCAATTTTCGATCAGCCTGCAGCATTGCACTCCTTAGGCTTTTTAGCATTCATTTATATGTCAATGGCTATGTAATTATAAGTGCATACATTTTTACAGTTAACAATGTTAGAATTCTGTGTTTTTTTCATTTTCTCAAAATGGCAATTTCGTACACCCTGCATGAAAATTACTGCAATATATCTGAAACTATTACAGATAGCAGAATATTTTATTTTGCAGCATGAAGCTATATGTTTGGAGAACACAACATAGGAAGCAGATTTTGATTCCCCTTGATGCAAGTTTTTCAAACTAGTCTTTTGTGTGACAACACAATGGCCACCTTCAGGGCTGTGAAGTTTAGTGTACTGTAAAGTAAGAAATAATGACCCATTCAAAAAAAGTGCTTCTTATGTTGCATGTCTTATGCTTTCTACTGTCAATCCATATGTTATTTATAAATTTTCGACAGGTGGTTATTTTTCTATTATGGTAAGAACAATAGAAATTGTTATCTTGATTATTTAATTAACTAATGAAGCTACAGAAAAAATAACTGCATTTTTAGAATCCAAAGAACAAACTAAGTAAGCATGCTAACTTTTGTCACATTTGGTTCAAAAATAAATGAGAGAGCCCTAAGACCCATGTCCCCCCTTAAGCGCGACTGCATCATGTATTGACGAACTGTCCGAAATAAAGTGATGTGGCACATTTCTTTAATGTTTTTGGTAGCAATAGAAGGTACCTGTTTTCTGCTCCAGTTGTGTTAATTTACTCACGTAACCCCCCCTCCCCCTCCACTGCAAGGGGTCCCCCATCGCGTCCACAAGTTCACAAGCGGTCCCCAACACATCCATGGCTGAGAACCACTGGCGAAAAGAACAGTTGGGCAACACCCCTTTTATTAATGAGGATGATCTTTGGTTTTCTAGGATGCAGTACACACGCCGTCAAGGCAATTTCATCGATACAGCGCTAAACTAACTTTCGGTGCCAATACCCAACAGGGCAGGTGCAGTTGGGTTTAGTTGTCAGGTGTGACAGGAAGTTGGCTCACCACATCCCGAAACTGGTCCTTATACATGAAATTGGACAAAAGGCAATGCACATGATGCGGAGCTTATTGAATGAGCAATTGGGAGACAAATACTTAAGAAAGACCACCAAGTAGGTCGGCTAGTGCACGTACAGATCGTATGAAGTGGCCGAAGTTAGTGTGTGGGCAGAAAAATCTGAACAAATTGCATAACGCAGTTGCCCAGACTCACAGCTCAAGGTATCATGCAATATCTGCCCTTTGCAGGTATTGCGTGTTACCTTGACCTGTTGTCTATAGAAACCAAACACGTGCCCATGTACTGACAGTTTGGCTGTGCGTTTTGAATGTCAACACATTAAGCATGCCACTATGCACCACGTTATTCCACCAAGATGCTCCTGCAATAATTTGGGCTTTCGGCTAAGACAATCGGGAGTGCAGCGTCATGTCCACAAACCAAGTCCAGCTGGTGATTACCAGTGATGGGCACGTCACCAGCACAAAACTTAAGAGTGCGTTATCCGAAGGTTGTAGGTTGGGACCCTTACCTGCAGCTAGTTGATTTTTTATCAACTTTAATTCCTTCATGTCATAACCACTACACTACAATTAAAACACACAAGCCGTGTCCCTTATAACTTTTATAGCTTCAGTGTTTGTTGGATTCATCACTAGAAACTAGTCACTTCAAAATGCCGGTCACAGCTCTTTCAAAAAACTAAGAGCAAAGGTCAGTATGAGAAGTGCCAACTCACATTTGTCGACCGGCCTGTCAAGGGGTTCGACGTAGTTGGCCGGGAACAGGCCCACTCGACCCGCCAGCTCCCCTTTCCACCAGGAGGAGTCTTCCTTGCTCAGCACAACCAGGACATCGCCTTTCTGGAAGGACAACTCGTCCTCCTGCTGCCCGATGAACGGAAACAAGGCACGCACTTGTTCTGCAACAGGAGAGAAGACACCGGCCAAGTGTCGGCAAGTTTTTCATACTTCTTCATGTAGTAATTGTAGTGAGCATGATTAATACCCGTGTGGGTCGACCCTCTTCTGGCAACTCTTTGTGTGCAGGCTTTAACACAATACGAGACCCCACACGCATTTGATGGTTACTTACAATGCAGATTGTCGGTTGGCACTGGTGGTACTTTCTAAATTTCACATGGCTCTATCTCAGTAGTACTTCAGTAATGACAAAAATGAAGACAGAAGGGTGGACTGAATGTTAGAAGTTGGCATTACCTATTCTTATATCTATTATGTTCATTAAATTAACTACAGTTATCATTGACAAACAGTATTAGAAGTGCAGAGAAGGTTAGTTGGTACTAATCCCTAAATTTTTGCTTATTTATGCAAAAGAAATCATTTAGGAAAATATACCAAGATGGGCTACATCCTCCTTACTAAATACTTGCCTCATTATGTATGACAGCATAATGCACAAATGCTTTCTCCAGTATTATTATTGCTTCATCAGTCAGCAGTAAACAGGAATCTTGTCATTGGACATGTCAGTGACATCACAAAATTTGCTTTAAGTTTGCTCTGACTTGCCTGTGTTGCTCTACAACAATGAGTGTGCATTGGCTCAGTGTAGAAGAGCCAAGTAGATCACATCACAGCTGATCAGGTGGAAATACTGGTGGGCGAGATGCAATGACAACAGTCTGGGCATTATCATCTTTCGTTTGAGTATACCTGCAGCTTTTGGACCTAGATGCTTGGCATCTACGAGTGATAAAAGTTCTGGTCTACAAGAACTCAGCTGTTTCAACATAACGTTTGCTCAGCTTCATTTTTTTGGTTTAGCACTAACTAATGTAAACGGGTTGTTTTTTTTTTTTCAGTTTTAAACTGAGAATGACAGTAGAAAAGAGTACTAACCTCCACGAGTGCTGGAGCCAAATGCTGCAGGAACAGGAGAGTTCCGGCTGCTGTTCGCGCCACTTCCACCTAGAACTTTCACGTAAGTAGCAGGGAACCACCCAGTTTGCCGCTTCTTCCCTTTAACCTATACATAAAAAAAAAAAACGCAGAGAAAAGATGTTTTCAGAGATACGGCCACTGCTTATACACACCTGCCACAGCACATAGCGACATCGTACAAGAATTACAGCCATACTGAGAGATGTTCACATGACAACTCTGAGCCAGATGCTTTAATTTTTTTGTAACTTTATATTTTATACAATGTACTACGAAAAGTGCAGATATGAAAACTGCAACATTATATATACTGACAATAAATATCACATGCCAAAAGAATACCACGTACGACAATAAGCAGCAAAATTCAAAGCTGCAAATATGTTCTGCACATCAGACAATGCTTCCTGTGAATAGGAACAACGCAGTGGTCCGCACTGCTACCAGCTACCGATTGATATGTGGGGTTTAACGTCCCAAAACTACCATATGATTATGAGAGACGCCGTAGTGGAGGGCTCCGGAAATTTCGACCACCTGGGGTTCTTTAACGTGCACCCAAATCTGAGTACACAGGCCTACAACATTTCCGCCTCCATCGGAAATGCAGCCGCCGTGCTACCAGCTACCGGAAGCTAACAAAGAAAGAGACAATGCAGCAATCAAATATATTCTTTGGAAAGTCTTGTTCAATGTTCAACGATGTTCAATGTTCCAAAACTACAACATGTTTACGAGAGTAGCCCTGCGCTGGTGGAGGGCTCCGGAAGTTTTGACCACCTGGCGTTCTTTAGTGTGTGCCTAAATCCAAGTACACACGCTTGAAGCATTTTAGCCACCGAAAACGTGGCCGCGACGTCTGGGATTCAATCCCGCGACCTGAGAGACAGCGGCCGAGCGCCATAACCACCAGGCCATCGCGGCAGGTTAAGTCAGCATATGAATATCCCATGCGAGGACAGCCCAAGGCTAAACTAGTCTTTCTGCCTGAAAAGATATTTTTAATAATAAAAGGAAATAATTGTTACACTATTTCATGCCAAGCACATAATCCTTGCAGAATCCTGTGCAAGCATTTTTCTCTGCTCAAGGGGACCCTACTTGCAAACATAAAACAAAAAGAGACAGAGAGAGGGAAAAATTAAATTTCAATTCTAAGGTTTTACGTACCGAAACCCCTCAATACGATTATGAGGCATGTTGAAACGACGGACTTCAGTATAACTGACCACCTAAAAATTTTTAAGGTGGTTCTAAATTTCACCTCCACTAAAATCAGCTACGACAGCCAACAGTTGAAGTGTACATACGTTGCCCATCATGGAAGAAAGGAGGAAAAGATAGAGAAGGAGACCTCTTAAAAGTAATATTTGCTCACCTGCAGTTCCCCTTCCCACCAGCCACTGTCAGTCTTCTTCCGCACTTGAATGAGCTGGCCTTTCTCCAACGTCAGCTGCTCCGGCCCAGTTGCCTTGTAAGGGGCTATGACAGACACGATTTCTGGCTTCTTGATCATTTTGGAGTTCTGGTGGTTCGGAAAAAATAAAATAAGAATGATAAGCTACTCTTGCCAGTGCAGTTCAAGGACTTCAGAAACAAAAGAGGCGTGTTAATCTCATGCCAGAGTACTGACGCAAGTTTGCTCAATTATTAAGCTTTACCTCGCCCCATGCCATTTTTACCAGTAGATTGAAAAAGCCATGCGAGTCCTACTCGTCCATGCCACAGATACTTTGTTTCCTGAAAGTCAGCTCTCGTAGTGCATTTCTGTATCGGTAATAAGCTCATTTTTCAATGTCTTAAATAAGTATGGCCATCGTTTTTAGATTGTGCACAAGTCCAACACTCCTACTGAGAAAAGAACCATTTTTCCCGGATAACCCCAAAGAACACTACTTATTTGAAGTGATATAAGAGCATGTCTACCTAATATCACAAAATAAAATATGCAGGCATTTCATACAATAATAATATATGCAAGAGTTTGATGAAAAGAGAAAATAAAGTACAGAAGTTTTGTTCGTACATTTATTGATAGTGCATCTTGAGAGTAATGGCACTGAAGACCCATGGGTATGTGAAACGCAGATTCGCTATTGATGCCACGAGAACTCCAAGAATATAACTTTCACTTGTCAGCTCTTACGCCCGTCAGCGACATTAGCCACTTCCAGGGGACTGCGCACAACCAGTCACGATATCACATAAAGGATGTTATCAGATAAGGACCGCAGGTCAGACTTGGCTACCTGCCTTCATCTCCAACCAAGGCTGACATTCAATATTAGATCACACGATTCAACAGACGCCCACTTGGCTACCTTATCACTCCTGCAACTCACTCGGAGCAAGAATCTTGGCAGCGGTGTGCCAGTGGATGTCCCAAAGGTAAGCGCTACGTAGTACACGGTACAGCTAGGATCACAGAAACACTGAAGCAAAACACTAAATCAGCCTTAACTGAAATTATTTGAGAACTTCACTGCTGTCAAACTTATAGTCCCATTCATTTTAAGTGGAGATAACGAGGGTCATGTTTTGTATGTTTTATGTGCAAGTGAAAGTGAGCGAGGGATGCTGACAATCTTGGCTCAAGCAAAGAGGCAGCGTGCTGGCCATCTACTGTTGTGCAAAGATGCATGCAGGGTCCCCAGAGGAAAGCTGTGTGGCACCGGCAGGAATCCCATATTTTGATCCGCAACATAGAAACCATCGTGAGAGCCAACTATACGCATAGTACTGTAGTTTCCTACAATATTTACCGGAGAAAACTATAGCACTGTAATTGTTCAACTATTACGAGAATGATGGTCTATGCGAATTCACCTCAAACACATTTATGGCTTTGTTCATTGCTCTGTCTTGATGTTCATTTCGGATAAAAGAACGAAACACTGGGAACTTCACGGCAGGGTTTGAATTGGTGAGCCTAAAAAGGTGGAGGTTTAGGTAAGTTAAAACTGCTGAATGTTTCCTGAACTCTGTTTGGCCACGGAGCGGCTCCAGGTCACACGGAGCGAAATGGAGGTGAGAGAACAAAGCTTAGACAAGCCCGTGTACAGTTGAACCCTTTTATAAGAGACACTGATGTAGGAGACAAATGGGTATAAGATGCGCCAATGTGCCTGCATAAAAATTGGGGTTGAATAGGAAATTAGAACATGGCACCCCGATATAATAGACACCTCGTGTAAGAATTGATTGATTCATATGTGGGATTTAACGTCCTAAAACTACCATATGATTATGAGAGACGCCGTAGTGAAGGGCTCCAGAAATTTCGACCACCTGGAGTTCTTTATCGTGCACCCAAATTTGAGCACACGGGCCTACAGCATTTCCGCCTCCATCAGAAATACAGCCGCTGCAGCCGCGACCTGCAGGTTAGCAGCCACCAGACCACCGAGCCGGGGCGACACCGTGTAAGGGACAAGAATTGTTCACAGGTGCGTGTCACCTAAAAAGGGGTTCAACTGTAATATCCATCATTCCCTTACTGGTTAAAGCACTATGCATTGCAACTCCCATAGACACTAGCATCAGATATCCCTCTATAGTATATTACTATTAGAAAAAACCATACCTTTAGCGACTGAACATGGTCATGTGCGCCCTATCTTGACAACGATTAACAGACTGCTCATACCTTTGTACATGCAGTGTTCTCATAGCTCAGTTTGCGTTGAAGCGATAAACAACGCAAAGGTTGCTTCGCTTGCTGCAGCGGCTGTGCCCTCCGTAAGCCGGCATTCTGTCTGGTTACGACAGGTCCATTGCTAAAGGAGTCAGCTGCCAGCCTCAGTTCGTATAACATTATAATTTGTTGCCGTCGCATTTACTACTTTGCCCTTGCAGCAATACTAAGACTGCAAGCAGCATTTTGTTCACTCTTGTTATGCCATGCAACAACATGCAACAATGATCAGTTCAATTCTAGTGACAATAAAAATGAAAACTTGTGACATCGTTGGGCTGGTGCAGGGTAGAATGTTCATAATGAGCCACTGGCCATGTGGCAACACTTACCTACATTTCTCACTTACCAATACATTGTTCTTCATAAATGAGACCTTTAACATTTAAAAAGAATGAATGTGCCACTTTAGACTAACTCAATACTTGCTTTCAATGTGCCATTAAACATTTAAAAGCAGCAGCAATAGTACTGCTTACACAAGATAGAAGAGCACACAATTTGTAGCCTCGCATAACAATGAAAAAAATTCAGTTTCTCTTACAGTGCTATTTAAAGAGCTACATTGAGGCAAATAAACTGTACTACAGCATACTGAAAAAACGAAGCAGTGCCAATATAACTTTCGTAGACACGACAGCTCGGATTGAGCTAGGAAATATCTGAGCAAAAGGCTTCACAAGGCACTAATCAATGCTCCCAATGACTGCAACGAACCTCCAATGCCAGTGTGAACGAGAGAGGTACGTAACAGCTGCTCACTGTTACAAGGTAAGTCAGCACTTCCAAAACTTCGTTCCTTCGACACCCACCTAAAATAAGATGTATGGCAATGCATACCTGCACCGTTTATTTCGTATCTTTTTTTTTTAATTTCTGAGTAGTAGTAGTAGTAGTACTACCTTTATTATTAAGAGCATGATTAGTACTGCTTAGTACTCAATTTAAAAGAACAATTAATTCTCTGCCATCCACGAGGTTCTGGGTTGAATTTCTGCACAGGGTCAATACATTTCAAAGGGAGTGATATTTAAGAATGCATACATGCATATATAATTATGCAATTGTTAAGAGGCCCCTCACTGTTAATAACAGCATGGAGCACTCCACATCAACACATTCCATAGCTCCAGCTCTGCTTATGGTGCATTCAGACGACGGACCAAATCCGGATGTGGGGGGACGGACGGCGCGTCACGTGACCTCACATCAGCGATTCCCCTCGTCCGCGACTCGTCCGCGCGGCTCGCGGACGGATGAACCCAACCTGTTTCTCACATCGGGATTCTGGCGGGAGAAAGCCGATACTTCAGCGGAATAGCTCGGGGTTTCTGGCAACCAGTACACTTTTCGTCTGCTCGCGGCACGTCCTCCATGGCTCGCGGATAGCTGCATGACTGGTCGGCATCATCTACGCTTGAGCATGGTTTACTTAGCTTCCGGGGGCTTTGTTCTCAGGTGATTAAATACGCAGAAATCACTTTTAGTGGTTCGGGAAATGTCACCGCCGTCGTTTTATGCGCGAGATTCTTAGACGTCATGAGGGTGAAATATTCTAACTTCTGCAACCGGCGACGTGCCACTTCTAAAAAAGAAAAGGATGGGAGACGCGTTCAGAAGTTCTACAGGTGGGTAACAATGTAGTTGAAAGAACATTCTGCCAGCAACTCCCTTTTCTCTTGAAAGAATAACACTCCTCGTTCATTTGTCACAACGCGACAGACATCGCAGTCAAGCGTCGCTTCTTGCGGGCATCCATGTTGAATACTCTCAAACCGGTCTGCTTTCAGCGTGCGCAGGTGAGCGCCGAACCTGCTGTCGAGGGTAATCCGGCTGTTTTCTCCTAGGACGCCGTCCGTCGTGTGAATGCGCCTACAGGCGGATCATCCGCGGATTACCCATCCGCGTCCACGACAAATCCGGATTCGGTCCGTCGTCTGAATGCACCATTAGGGACGTTAAGTTACCCAAATAGACAATGAAAACCACAATCGAAGAGTAAATGATGTGGTATGTCACAATGGGAAAGAAATTATTGAAATATCGCCCCAACAGTACTTGTAAAACTGCTGCAAAGACTAATTTGTCAACAAAGAGTCTGAAAACACATGCAGAAGTCTGGATGCCAGAAATGATATTTTGCGATCTAGTACTTAGTTTCGCTGGTGAATGTATCCTGCAGCTAAAATCAACAGCATCCTCTACTGTTGTTGTTCATATTCTTGCAAGCTGTCTCTGCAGCTCTTCAATGGAGAGCAATGCAAATCTGGTGGGTGGTTTGCCCCCTGATGTGATGCAAAAGAAGTACATCTGGAAGTTTGCATCCCCCTTTACACCCTCTCTCTCACACTCCCACTTTGTCTACTCCAGTCTCCTTGCCGTAAGAAACGTTCACAACGAACAAGCAATAGGAAAGCTCCAAGGTAAGTGACGCAAGAACAGCAGATGATGCGAGAAAGACTTCACATTTACCTTCACCTTGCCGTCACTCTGTGGAGTTTCTGGTCTTGCTGGCTGTACCTGTAAAGCGAATAGCAAGTTGTGAGCTTCCATAGGAGGCAACTATGCACAGGAGATAGAAAACTCACATATGCATCCCGTGAAAGGCCACAGCGAAATCAGTTATGGAACTGTGAAGGCTGTGAAGTGTAGCCGAATGAACATAACACAGCTTTTAATCTGAGGAAAAAGTTCCACGAAATACAGGTCTGTTTTAGAACTGCGCTGGCCCCACCTTGGGTTTAAAAATCGACCATGACGAGAAGGAATTTCAAGTGAATAATTTTGAGTTCAGAAAACAGGAACGTGAAGGGACAAAGCAGGTGTGTGCTGGGCCGTAACGTAATAGAGAAAGAGCAGAATTTCAGCTTGTTTGGTAGGGCTGATATTTTACCATGCTCTTCAAACCTTTGGAGAATACAATTTCACAACAACAAACAGCGTCAGGAGCACCAGCTGAACAGCCAAGTGCTGCTCTGGCTACAAATATTGTGGACAAATGAGACATAGACAGGTAAGTATAAACTAAAATGTGCTGTCTGAGTAACAACACAAGGTTAACCTTCTGACAGTTGTGTACATAAATCTTTAAAGCTAGCAGAAAGATAGCCATAATGGCAGAAAGATGGCCTGTTTTGAAGACCGCTTGTTTTTGAGTACATTTTAGAATGGGTGAAGTGTTTTTTTAGGAATGTTTCACGATCATATGAAATTTAGCAGGTGCTAGTAGAATTTATTATTTTCCTAAAACAAGGTATTGCAAAAAAAAAAAAAAGTGTGCCAGAGTCCTATTTATTGCATTATAGACAAACATAACTGAACTTAATTGGCACTGCCTACTATTAATATAAAATTTTCCATAATATAAACTATTCTTCGGAACTGCATCTGACACCTATGCTATTAAGGAAATGCCCATTTAGAAATGTCTCATATCCTAATCATATAATGTTAACTTCTCAGCAAATTTTTAGCACATTCCCTAAAATTTCTTGCAAATTCCAGTAGACTTGACGTAATTTGCCAGAGTATGTTGAATAAAAAATTTGAATACAGTCAAAAGTTCTTGCATAAAGCCTCTGCATGGAATGCTACCATATAAATGATGCTGGAAACCGACCATTATTGGTATTGAAACATGAGCTACAGCGGTGCTTCTCAGATTGTGACTCAAGAGACCGTGTTCATGAATGCCTCGCCCATTGTTTTCACCCAGACTGCGCTTGTAGCTGTGTAAACCATGGTAAATGAAAAATGCGTGTACAGTCGCGGCCACGTCTGTGTAGAGCACACAAGCCGCTGCTTTTCGCTCTGCTGGGTGAAACCTTGAGGTAGTAGCGGGCTCTGACCAGGTCAGCCGGACAACTGGGCCACACATGCTCCTAATACACCACTTCAGAGTCCGAAACTGCATGAAGGTTTCGTGCCGCAGAGCAAAAACAGGCTGCTCACGTGCTCCACGCAGACGTGGCCGCGGCTGTACCAAGTAAACTGCATGTGAAAGCTTGCAGACTACGTCTGCACACAGCAAGTCAACTTATCTGCGATGGAAGCCTGCTTTGAAGTTTTATTCTGTATTCTGGATCAGTACCTTTATGGTAAATATCCCTTTCAGCAGATACGACATGGTTAACCCAACAGGTTAGATTAATACAAAGGAAGTTACTTTTATTAATAGTTATGCATAATTCTTATTGGTTTGAGTGAAGAAATGACAGTGCCACCCAACCACAGTCGGTTACACTGTACTGTTTTTAACAATACTATACAGTTTAACCCCTTTATAAGAAGCATACTCCTGGCAGCAATTGTTGTCTTTTATATGAGATGGCTCTTACAAGCAGGGTACCTCATATGCCTTTTCTCATCAACCCGTATTTTACTGTAGGCACACTGGTGTCTCTTATAACCATTTGTCTCTTATATCAGTCTCTTGTAAAGTGATTCAACCGGATTAGGAAGAGTGTAGTGTCAGGAAGAGTGTAGTGTCGAGCTTGTGTATTGAAGGGACACCCCAACACCTTTCAAGCATGGTCAGAAAACGCTGCAGATTGGTAGTCGGTCCTGAAGAATATGCAAGTGAAACATTATAGTTCAGAATGCAAACAGAAACTTATAATTTTCAAAGTCAGCTAGAAATTGCCCTCTCTTCTCTCAACAAATGATGCCACATGTGTATAAAAAGATGACTGTTTTGTACTCAAAGATTCATAACACATCCGATCAACTTCTGTTAAATGAGGCATTTCAAAAAGTAGCCTCCTGGTTCGAGCAATGGCAAATGGCCATTAACTTTGATAAAACTGTATTTATGCAAACTACTCACAAGGTAAGTCCTTTGCTTTTCGCATACAATGCTAACAATACTTTTTTTTTTTTGTCGGAAGTCCCTAATTATAAGTACTTGAGCTTTACATATCAAATGATCGCTGCTGCAACAAACACATAACCCACATAACAAATAGAACTTCCAAACAGTTTTTTTTTATGTCGTGCTCTTGAGCTATTCACACTTTCTGTCTGCTTTTTAGCGTTCAAATCATTGTTTCTGCCAACATTAGATTACGTCGCTATTATCTGGGAACCTTTCACTAAGACTGACATTAACAAATTAGAAAAAGTGTAAAAAAGAACAGTGTGTTTTACATATACTTTTTCAAGGACTTCTGTTACGGAGCTATTAAACAGAGCTGAACTTTCACCCTTATTAAGGTATCGTGAATCAAGGCTCAAGTTTTGTATCAATAAATTAACAGCCAATATAAAGTAAACATAGCCGATACTTTTTTTCTTTTTCTTCTGGCTATTTTACCAGGCAGAGACATGACTTCAACATAACTCCCTTTCCAACACGCAATAGTTGCTTTAATAAGCACTATTCATTCTTTCCTCGCACCATAGTTGAGTGGAATAAACTAATATGATTGTTTTAGCACTCTCATTGGCATTGTTTTCACGGGAATCACAAAGTGCTCTGGCCAAGTGAATTGTATTATATATTGTATACATGTAATCTTTTTTTTTTTTTCTCTTTTTTCTTATTGTATAGTCTTGCCCGTGGAAGCTCGTATCTGCCCTACACACACTGTACAGCCTGAATATTTACAAACCCATGTTCTTGCCATTTCGCTCATGACTAACTTCATGTACCGCCCTGCTTAAATCACCGAATAGTAATTGCGGTACTTGTAAATAAAATAAACCTAAATAGCACAGCCATTGGCTACAGAATTACCGCTGCCCCCACGTGCCTATATGCACACCTGCAATCGTACTGAAAGCAAGCAGGTGTGAAGAAAAAAGAAAACAAATTGCCCAAGGCTATGGCATGCACTAACGAACAGTTTCAGTTTCTTACTTTCTTTTTATCACCCTCGTTTCACCTTTCAGATTACTCGCTTGTATGAAAAGAGAGAGAAAAAGCTTGAAGCGTATGACGAATTCCTGTAACTCAGCTCATACTTGTAGAATCTTAGCACCTGTGATAGTAGATTCGTGAAGCAACGAAGTCCTGTAATGTTCAATGATCTCTTCTAAACATAGTGCATGGCCCCTTTAAGTTGTTTGGCTATTGGCAACTAAGAAAATTTTAACTCTGGCATGTGAACCAGCACCTACAGTGTTTATGAGAATGCGAGTGTTCAAACTTCAATATTCCAAATAAAGTTGGTATTCCCACACAAACTGCCCGATTTTGATGTTTCTCTTAGACATCTAACATCACTTTGGAAGTCTTCACATAGAATTCTTCAGTTTTCAAGGCTGAAATTTGATATGCAAAAGCATTCAGCACATACCTACTGCATAAAATATAACATGTAAAGGTGAATGACAAACAACAGTAAAAACAAATTCGACACAACAGGTTCGTACAGCGTACAACCTTATTTGAATCTGCCTCTCGACTGAGTACCCATGGAACATCAAAATGCAGCAACTTTATTGGGCATCAGACATGCAAAACATGCAACATTACTAAAGCAAACATCTCCAGCCATTTTGGCCATACAAATGTCAAGCTAAATGCCACATGACGACAACCACTGACAACCTAATTTAGGGGCATTAGTTCTAACACACACGGTGTATTAGATACACCGTCAGAGCTCTCACGTTAAACAAAGGATGTACAACTTGGAATTGTATCCAAGCAGCACTGCAGAATAGTAGTATTAGCATTAGTGAAACCAAAAAGGAAAAGCAATGTTACAACAACCATTGTAAAAAAAAACAGCAACAAAGGTAACACTGGCAGAAACAATCTGCAGACTGAAATATCGAAGTGCTAACATAACACAGCATATTACGTAGCAGCTTCCAACCAAGATGTGTTCTTTAAGGACATGCAAGAAAAAATACACATGCCATACAAGAAGAATTAAAGCACTGCCAAAACCCTGAACCTTTGTTATAACACGTAAACAGGGGTAAAATAGCCTGCTATGCATAAATGGAAACACATAGAAAAGAGAAAAGTGCCCCAAAGCTACCAAAAAGAAGTTTTCCATGAAGTTGTTAAAAGATTAGAGAAGAAGGTTTGACAGATATGAAAGGGAATGCCAGATCTGCGCTAAATGCTTAAAGGCTCCTGCTTTTCGCACAGACTGAAAAGGCACCACTAAAGGTGCGCATAAGCAAAGAAAAAAAAACGAAAAAAAAAAAACTGTAGACTTCAGCGACAGACCCTTCTTGTATATGTAAAGCCGGCCTATGTGTAAGGCAATCTACCAGCACCAATTGAATGGATTACACATTGAAGGCATGTACTTAGGCACACACTTCCAAGCATTTTATGCGCAGGAATATGTTGATGCAGCTTTTTTTCTAGAGCCAAGTGCTATAACCTGATGTTAGCATGCACAGTTCACATCATGTGCACAACTTCATAACCAGTTCTGCCAATAGATTGGCAAGTCTAGAAAATAGCTGAATAACATGTGTAAATTAAGTAACTATAACATCAATAAACGTTTGCTTCAATGTCTTCCTGGTGTTCCCTTTCATATCCGACTGAAAAATGTACGTAAAGATCCACTTTTTCAAGGCAACACCTAGCACCTAACAGATCTATGATGTATTGAAATCATTTCTATACATTCATGGGAAGGCAGTCGCTCATATAATATGCTAATCATATGCATATGCATAGAACACTGGTCAATAGGTCTCAGACTTTTGTGTAATGGAAAGACAGTAATCAGTAATACATTATTGACTGTGTTTTACCTTAAAAGTGGATCGTACTATACATTAGACAAATTCGACCAACTCGCACAACATACGTCCCATCAAGAGCAGAAGGGTTAAGTGCTGCTTCAGCAAGCCGCAGTTGCGTGCAATGCAACAGCTGCACAGTGGAAGCGGGAGGAGCAGAGCCAAGCAGCCATGGGCTCAAAAGGCCAAAAGATCTACCTCCGCTCCAGCGAAGCCCAACTCTTCGTTGGTCGGCAATGTGGAAGTTGTGTTCATAGGAATTTCACCAGCAGCAGACGCTGCCTTCTCCTCCTTCAACGGAAAGGACAACAACAAAAACAACGTTGGCCCATGCCAGACGGGGTCACATACCTCATGGGTGGGACAAGTTGTCGCGCTAAACACTTTGGGATTAGAAATTCCGTGCATAGACTAACCTCTCTTCAGTACAGCAATAAATTCCCCACTGGTTGACTTATTAGAAATAACTTCACACTGTCATATATATTTTTTATAGGTCTGAAACGTTGGGAGAAGAAAAAACTGGAAATTTGCAACCTGCCATACTAATCTAATGTGCAGCATCAAAACGTTACTGATCAGCATGGCACAAACAAATAGTGCGCAGTTGCACGAAGTGATGTATGGAACAAGTTGTTCTGGCAGCTAAGGTAGTGTTAATTCCAATTTGTTGATAAGGCTGTTTTTAGACACTATGATTAAGAGGGCACAAATTTTTCTTTGATCTTCTGACAGATTTTGATGGAACAAGTATTTGCATATTTGAGCATTGATTTCAAATAGCGTGCAGTTATTTTTCTTGTGTAACGTACAGTTTTTTTAATACAGTACATTTCATGTGCCTTTTGGAAAGCAAGATTATTTGTGAACTTGAGAGAATTAAGCAGCAAATCATCATTTCCCAATAATATGGAGTCGGAACTGTGTGCACTGAAACAAAGATAGATGTTCAAAGCACATTTGAACAAAAGTTATGGGATGCCGAACATTCACAAGCGACACCCTAGCTTGAAATTGATCCACTCATGGCAGTTGGACATACCAGGCACACAACTTTTGTACAAACAAATTTAGAAGATCTTTTTTTAATGCACTGCACAGAGTTATGATTCAAGATTATACAGATATGCTAATTTACACAGCTCTTTCAGTTAAAAAAAAATCTCGCTCCCAAAAAGACTTGTTAAATATTTTTGCATTTAAAAAACTGCCCACTATATTACAAGAAAGAACTACATATTTGAAACCAACACAAAAATATAAACAACCTTGCCAAGTTTTATGAAAATCAATCAAGAAATGAAAAAATCTCATGAGCCGTGTCCCCTTAATTATCTGCTAGTTAGTAAAGTGTATGTTTATGGCAAAAGATTAATTACAAACTGCAATTCATCATGTTAACCCTTGAAATCTAGCATTACAGTTTACATTACTACGAATTGTAATGTGCTATGCACTGCCCCTACAACTAGCCGAGTTGATAAGATAAATGCCTGAAGCTTGTGGTAAGCCAGATTCTATCCTTAGAAATTATAATTTAACAAAAACAATGAAAAAAGAAACATTATATTTCTGCTGAACATAGCAAATCAGTTTTGTAAAAGTCTGTGAGATGAAGGCACGTGTTATGAAAGACCAAGATTTCCCTTTCCAACTCCTAATCAGTGCGTGGTCATTTTTTTTTAATCACCTCGCTTAAAGAACATTACACATCCTCAAAAAAAAAAAAGAAAAAAGTGAACCATATGATGAATCCATCAATTTAGTAAAGTTAGAAAGCTAAAGTGGCTCAAGCTCCGTCAAATTTACGTTAACGTAAAATGTCGTTTCCTTTAGGCAAAGCTTACACGGCAATAACTTTAAAAATAAAAAACAAGTATTTACGTACCTGAGAACAACAACAAAAATATTTCTGCCACCGAAAACCATGACTGCTATAAACTGCTGACATTTTTACAGTGTTAACAGCCCACCATCTGCACAGGCATAAATTTTAGCTATGTCAACATGCGTCAGTAGCAGCCAGTCATGTAGGAGAAAAGTGGTAGTCTACCTTGACTTCTGGCTCGTACAGGCGCACGTAGTTGCTGGGGAAGATTCCCGTCTGGCCAGCCAGCGTGCCCGTCCACCACTCCCCTTCCTTCTTGCTAACACTAATCACGTCACCAGCGTTGAAGCTCAAGTCACCCGGCTCCTGAGACTGGTATGCATACAGTGCAACGAACTTCTCCTCAGTCGTAACTGCAAGAAGTAAACAAGGCTTTAATCAACATGTCAATCACAGATGCACATACAAGCCTTATACGGACGGTACTGCAGGAATTAAATTGACAGGGTTTCGCATACTGACATTGCAAAGTGGGCTGCCAGGGAAGCTGTAGGGAACAGTTTTGAATTCGTTCTAATGATATGCAGCTTATTTTAACAGGTTCATAAATACCTGCACACGGTTTCACCCACTGACGTGAAGAAATGCGCTTGCACAGGATAACATGTCTGACAAAAACATGTATAACACAAATCTCATGATCACGAAGGCAAAAAAGAGTGAGGTAAAGCTAAAACTTGCGTAGGAAGGTTGGTGGATGATTGTCGTTTGCAAAGTGGAAGCAATTTAGAGCTGATCCTTCAAGCTAATGTGGAGCTGTGAAGCAGTTTGTTACATGATTTTTCAGCAAACATATGCAAGTTACAAATTAAGACTACTTAATTAGTGCTTAATTTCTATAACTGAACCTCAATACGTCACTTCAGTAAAAGAACCATCCACAGTTACACCAAATGACATGTTATATAGTCTGGTTCCCCCACTGTGTGCTTCAGGCCCCCTGATACAGCATAAATGAAAATCAAGCTAACAACTGACCTGGGAAATCAGCTGGGGGTTCAGGAGGCACATCTCCGTATTCTTGTAAATCTGAAACCTGGTTGCTGAAAGAAAATAATTTATATTCGAGCCCCGTATACTACACGACAGCAGTGAAATTCAATAACACTAAAATGCAGTTATCATGCAACAGCAACTTAACCTGACTACTTCATTTCCTCGCTGGTTTCAATACAGGTTACAATTAATTCTCCAGTCACTCACCTGTTGAATGTCTTCACTGGTCCAGAGATAAGCCTGACGTACGACTTCGGAAACCAGCCCAACTGAAAAAAAAAAGAAATGATAAGCTGAATGTACAGACAGAATAGAGTGATGCATCAGCTGTATAAATTAACACATGTGACATTTGGCTGCATTAATCTGAATTTATGATATATGGTATTTTATGACCCAAAACCACGATGTGATTATGAGGGTTGCCGTATTGAAAGGCTCCGGGAATTTCAACCATCTGGGGTTCTTAACGTTCATTGACACCGCACAGTACACGGGCCTCTAGTGCTTCGCCTCCAACAAAATGCGACTGCCGTAGTCGGGATTGAGCACGCAATTTTCAGGTCAGCAGCCAAACACCAACACCACTGATCATTAAACTGGATTGGGAATTTGCAATACTTATCATTACCATACTGCAAGCCCTTGTAAGGGCCTAAGCAAGAGGGGCATAAACATACCATACGAGCATATATAAAAAAAAGAGAAAGAAGTGAACACTACGATAGAACAATAATACAAGTTGATAACAAGATATAAATCATACTTGTACAAAAATTAACAATTAGAACGCTGGAATTAAAAGGTTTTTTTCCCCTCTTTTCTGTTAATAACTGACATAACCAAGCCTGTTGAACGATGATATGAAAATTTACCAGATAAGAGACTTTTATACAGATATCACCATGCACGCTTAAAAATTAGTACTGGATACCACAAAGGTATTTTCAAACAGGCCTTGTTTCAATTATATGAGGTCCAGCAGCAAAATTACAATGCTGGTCCAGCAGCAAAATTACAATGCTGCCATCCATACATGCCCCGCCAAATGATGGCAATGGGCATCTCACAAGTTTTCTGTTCTTGTAGCGAAATTCAGCTGCACTTTGTTATCAATGAAAAGTATCTGTAACGAACAATCATACCTGTGTGAGGAAATCATCTGAAATATCCCTGCTCTATTCATTGAAGCTAGTACAAGCATGACTATGAGCTCAGTTAAGTTCGATTCAATATTACCAGGACAAATATGTTTAGTTTAAAACCCACTCATCTGCCTCCAAACAATGTGATGATGCTGTGGTAGCATAGCTACTACTTACCCTGTAACTAGCTAGCCTACGAACTGATCCAACTAACTTAATCTAACTGAAAGGCCCTGCGCGACCACACGAGACACTTGCCTTTCCTTGGAACTCGCCGTACCACCACATGTCTTGCTGCTCCTTGACTGCAATGACGTCACCCTTGTTGAAGGTGAGATGGTTTTCCTTCTTCGCTCGCCATGGAAACAGCGCTTGTGCCTGCAAGCCCTGAGGGGCAGCTTCTCCCTAGAAATAAGCGCAACAGCTCAAGACCGAAGGACCCGTTCGCGGAACAAACCTTGAGGCTGCGCTGCGTCTCTATCTACCTCACGAAATGAAGTCTAATTAAAACACCCTGCACTGAAGACTATAGCTGATAGTTACTACTGGTACCCACAATCATGCAATCAACTGTAGTCTACACCTTTGAAGCTAGTCAGCTTGACCACAGTGTGATGGACACTTATCTTTAAATTTCAATTAAATCAATCACGTATCAAGTAAGACTGCAACAGTTTACAAATAATCTAATAAAGCATCAACGTTTCAAACACAATGCTGCCACTTACACAAAAGCTGAATTATTACTCTCCTTCATGATCAGAAAGGCCACTATGATGCACGAGCAATTGTTCTCTCCCTTTACCTTTTCTGTCTCTTTCATAAAACATTCTGTTTTGTCTTTATTAACGACACTATAGATTACATGACAGAAAAGTGATGTTATATTATTGTTGCATGCTTGCTCACTTGTGAATCATAATGACGTCTAGAGGTTTAATAGTTTAGAAGTGCGCATGGGCCTGTATCACAGCATCAATCACCGGGTGCATGTAAATACACATTGGCCTAGTGCTGTTTGAAGGGTGCAAACAAGAGAAACTAAACCATTACCATCCCTATGGTTTTGCATAGAATGCATCAGTGGTCTATACTACTCACTCCAGTGAAATATTCCTGCATCTATGTGCTAAAGGCACACGAAAGTGAGACAATGAAGATGCTAATTGATAAATTACACTCTGACAACAGTACTGTCCCTAATTTCCCCCCACAGGTTTATTACTAGAGGAGAAAATCAAGGCCAACATTTCATTTCTAAATATTCTGCTAAAATCTCCGTAGGTGACAACAGGAATTGCTTAGTGTGTATGTGTGTGTTGGCGTTTTTGCAAGTAGTCTCCACAGAATTTCCTGAAACTTCGCGAAGTACCTGGATCACCTTGAGAATAACGTCCCACATTTTAATCAATCAGAAATCACGTGGGCGTTGGTAGAACCCACACCGTCAAAATCTGTGACGTCGCAGAAATAGATGCAGGAACTTCAATGTCGCACCCCCACACGGGTTCTCGCGCATCAAAAGCCTTCTGGTGCGTGCAAGTGTGGCAATTTTCGTAGAGTGAAATTGTAATTTACTAATGCGTGAAAAATAAGTTTTTTTTTAAAGTGTCACTTTAATGCACGTTGCCTACACAGTAAAAATTTTGTAGACTCACCTCACCAGGTACAGGAGATGTGGTGTCTACACTGGGTGCCCCCCGGGGCAGTTGGGTAAAGCAGGAGTTCTCCGAGGGCTGCAGAACATCGGGCGCCACCACTTCGTCCAGTGCTGGCTCGCGACCATTCTCCGGGGCCTCGGAAATTCCTCTGCACGCAAAATTTGAATTACTACATGCTGTATTGTGAAGGCTCAAACTTCCTAAGAACCCACACGGATTATGTGAGAAAGAAGGTAAACAGAAACTCAATGAAGCTATCACTATGCATCTTCATTTCCTCAAAAATGCCACGTTGTAATCTATATGAACACCCACAGCTCGGGTTCACTTGTGAAGATTATAGCGGTGCCAACAGATTGAACTAGCCTTCGGCACCCGTACGCTGTTATCACATGAAAAACAATTGCCCATATGCAAAAATAGAGGCACGTAATGAGGCTCACTCCAGGGTCATCTTCATCTCGGTTCCCACGATGTGTACGGTCTCGGCCGCGGCGGCCACTGTGGCCCCTCCGTCGTTGCCTGTAGGAAAACCGCCAGTGGGCGAGGTGACCACCTTCTCGACGTAAGACTCTGGAAACCAGCCTGTCTTGCCCTGCAGCTCTCCCCCAAGCCAACCCGGTTCCCCGTGCTGGTTCTCCTGCACCTGAAACCAAAAAAGTGACAAAGCAAAACATTTTAACCATGTTCCAGGTTAGTTCACCTGACACCAATGAGCAGTGAAGCCTGTAGTGACACGTATCCCGAAGAAGTACGGCCACTAGCGTGGGACCGGTTTTAGCGGGCCACAGGGAACGCGTTAACCGTCACCGCGGCGAGAACACGATACTGCTCAAGGTTGCAACACTTCATTGCCTGTGGCAACACCAAAACGCAGTACAGCCCGTTGCAAAAGCGCGGCGGGAAAGCATATGGGCTTATCCACGCCACGGACGAAAAGTACTACACAGGGTGCCGCGAGCACGTCTCCATAGTAAAAGTGATTTATGGAGACACCGGGACGAAGGCCCGATTGCTAGAGCAAGGGCAAAGGCGCTCGCGTTGGCTTTGGAGAGGTACGGGTCGGCGTAGCTTGGCCACGCACTAGGACACCGTACCGCCCTTCGGCCGAGCATACGCAAAGGGCCAACAAAAGATGAGCCCGACGAGCCCCGTGAAGTCCGACGAGCCCCAAACAACAGGAGCCAACGGACGGAAAAGAAAATGCGGGCTCACCGTAAGCTGTCCCAGAGAAATCTGATCCACTCCCCATGCACGCGCACGAAACCTCTCGGGAGACCTCGCGCGCGGTGCCACAATTGACATCCGCTACCAGGTGAGAGGGGTTAAACAGCCCTCCTCGCCCTCCCAGCGCGGCAGACAGCGGAAGAGGGGAGTCATGTCGGGACATGAGAACAACACAAATAGGCGAGAAAGCCCACGCAAAGGTGGCGGGTTAGCCTCAATTCCCACAAACCAGGGCAGGAACAGAGCAAAGGCAGACTATCTGCATGTATAGTACTAATTATCGGTATTTCTCTGTTGCCACTCTACTTGCTCTGATCAGTGTATTATGAACCATACCCGATTAGCCCATCAATGCGTATCATTTGCCTGCCTCAGTGCCCATTGCAATTTCACCACAACACCCTAAAAAGTATAAATTAGAGAAGTGTGAATAGCAATATTTTAGTTGTGAAGCAAATTCGAAAAATGAAGTTTGAGTGCATCTAATAATTATCTGGGGTTTAAAGTGCCAAAACCACAATATGATCATGAGAGACACCGTAGAGGAGGTCTTCGGAAATTATGACCATCTGGTGTTCTTGAACGTGCCCTGGCATCACACAGCACACGGGCCTTAACCATTTCGCCTCCATCAAAATTAGACCACCACAGCTCGAATCCGCAACCTTTGGGTCAGCAGCCGAGCACTCAAGCCACTGTTCCACCAAGGCAGATGATGTTTGAGTGCAAATGAATCGAACAATTTTAAAATATTTTTCGAATAATTAGAAGCCAATTTACAGAAAACTTGCAGAGGACCTCTAGGCACAGTCTAAATTATATTCTAAAAAAACATATAGCTCCGTAACGGTGCAACTGGGCACCACCATTTTGAGCTTGTTGGAGAGGACACTTTTCAGTCTTCAACTTTCCCCTTTCAGCTAAGGTCCTCCATTCAAAAACGAGTATACAAAAAGTAAATGTTTAAAATTCATCTCGAAGCCTCTGATTGGCTGCTTCTACCATGTTGTAATGCCTCTTTTCAGACCCACTGTATATAGCATACACTCGTGGGACTTGCAGTTAGGTGTTCTGATTACAGTCAAACCTCTCAATATATCGAACATGGATATATCGAATTATTACCTATATCGAACGGTTCCTATATTACGCGGGAAATCGCATGCATTATTGATTGTTTATTTCAAACAAAGTTTGACATATAATGGATATATCGAACTCAGCCACCCCAAACCGCCCGCGCTCCATTGACAGGCGGCGAGCTTTCCCGCTACTCTCGAAAGTAGCGGTAGAGCGGCGGGCATTTACGAATGCTGCACACATCGATGGCGCCGAGAGCGCCACTTTAACGTAGCGGCGTACGCGCGCCGCAGCCTTGCGGTAGAGGTTCTTAAAAGAGGAAAGAGAAGAGAAAAGAGCTGAGCTGTTATCGTCTTTCAATACGAAGGCACCGACACGGCTTCGCGCGGGGGAAGGGGGAGTGGGAGGTAAAGATTAAGGAGGAAAGTATAGGAGGTGGTGGTGGTAGTGGTTAGAAGATGAGAAAAGGCACCTAATTTCTGCAACCCGGTCGGGAGCACGGCGCAGTGCCTAAAGTATCGGAGGGAAAGGACGCAGACGACTGTCTCGGACGCGGCCCGCGCTGCCGCCGGGAAAGGGAAAGCAGTCAGGGGAGCTGGCATGGGCGCGCCATGTGCGCGCTTTACACCCGGACTCACGCCGCAGCCTTGCAGCTTGCAGTCGTTGCAGTCTCTTATGGTGTCAACGGCACACTGCGCACTTGTTGCAAGCTCCTCCCCCGTAGCATCGGCAGGCATCGGTCGTTGTGCTCGCAGTGTTCGTGCGTTCGGAGTTAGGCCTGTCGCGCGCCGTGGTGCGCAACAGGCCTAACTCCGAACGGCGGAGCTCACGGATGTGGAGATTGTCGCCGAAGCTACTGCTGAGCAGCCAAATGAAGACTACTGAGGTGGATCCCGCAAGCGCTGATGGTGCCCCGCTCCCGACATCAGCTGAGGTCGTAGCTGCCTTGGCCCTTGTGCGCCGCCACTGCGGCGCGATTGAAGACACCGGCCTATCACTTATGGATCGCCTGGACTATATTGAGGACGCAGTTGTCAAACACGCCATGGCCAACAAAAAGCAGGCTACTCTTTTTCAATATTTTAAACCAACACAATAAATACTATGTTTGAACCTTCAAGTGAGTATTTACTGCACCACACTTGAACGGTTCGTTGGTTGTTTTCAGCAGGCTGTTGACGCATTTTTTTTGTGATTTTTTTATATCGAATTCTGGATATATTGAACTATTTCGCGATCGCCGCGCCGTTCGATATATCGAGGTTCGACTGTATAAGCACTTTGGACCTCGTGATGAAGACTACCGCAGGATGACTATGTGTACTCAGGATTGAGCACGATACTTTAAAACATAGCCATGCACAATGTCAGCTTACCGCTCAGAGTTGTGGCTAGGCCTAACTCTACTCACAGAGCCGATGTACGGCACGAATTCAAACTTTGCAGGCCACGTCATCGAACTAGCAGACATGCAAAAGTGAAGAAGCCGCAATGTGCTTTGTCACAAGCAACGAATCACATTGCCTGCTGGCTCCTTGAAACTGTATTGGGCATTTTATGCATCAGAAGCGGCCCCCTGGGCCAAGCTCGTCGCCAACGCTCGAAGCATGGATGGAAGCAGCTAGTGGCATGGCACGTTGACACCCAAAAAACACAAGACGAAGCACACAGAATGCCAATTCATTATTATTAAACGTTATACCTATTTTCAGAAAGTTCAAATAGAAAAAATCAAGTGTAAATGAAACTGAATCGAAAAGCAAACACCATTCCAAAAATATTTGAAAGTTATAATATTCGCACACCCTTAATATGCAGGCAGGAATCATTCCTCAAATCGGTTGTTCCGCCACCCTCAGCCCTCCGATAATTGATAATCACGTTATATTCAAAAGCAGCAAATATTAGACAACCTTTAAGAGCTGAAATTACACATCATACTCAGGAGTGCTGTGACAAAATAGCCACTACAGCACCAACAGGAATGCTAATTTTTTTTCAAAACAAGGCCACAGGCTTATGCAGTAACATATCCATGCTAGCTCGACTTTTCAACTGCATACGTTAGCAATACTGCTTCGAAATGCAGCCCATACTACTCACCATGATAATGTCTCCCGGCATAATGGAAAGCTCATCAGCGTTTCTTGCTTCAAACGCATATAGCGCTCTGTATTTTACAAGACCAGAGGCAGGCTCAGGCTGAGTGCTTTCACCTGAAACACAAATGTGGGCACAAGAGCCTGTAGTTGACAATCTGATATGCTAACAAAAAAAACTTGGCAGGAACTATCGAAGGACGGTGCTGAAGGTAAGGTGATATCATGTGTCCATAGGTGTGCAACAATATGCTTTTTTAAGAAGTTATTGGCAGGCGGCGAATGCAGTAAGTACGCTTGTGCAAATATTTGACTGCTTTAAATATTCGAACAAATATCACAGTATTCGAATTTACTTCGATTCGAATTTAAAATATTGAAAATTTTGAAGTAATCGAAGTGAGTGAATGAGTCCGCATATAATCCCTGTAAAGGTGGTTTCATTGCAGTAGAGGGGTTTCAAGCAGCAAAAGCGCCTGTCTAAAGGTATTAATCTATTAATTCGCATGTAACCACCTGCAACAATGTTTTCACAGCAGAAAAGGGAGTATTAAACTGCGAAAGAACCTACCCAGGACAAAACCAACTGCTGCAAAGCCTCACTTCAAGGTTAAATGAACACACTACCTTCACAGCAATTCATAATTTTTTATGTTTAAAAGGTTGTTGATTGATTTGTGGGGTTTAACGTCCCAAAACCACCATATGATTATGAGAGACGCCGTAGTGGAGGGCTCCGGAAATTTCGACCACCTGGGGTGTTTAAAAGGTTGTTACACAGGGTTATATGCTTGAAGTATAGTAAATTTTAAAACTTAACATATTATACAGGTTATCACTTGCATTCTTCCGAAAGTGAAATTCTGCTACTATTCACAGTTCCCACTTTCCTTGCAAAAAAAAAAAAAAGAAACATTTGCACAGGCCTTGTTAATATTAATTAAAAAAAGCTAGGTCATGACGAATAGGCCTATTTTTATTTATATGTGATATACACACAAACCTCATTATAACAAACTTGCATCTTGCATGAAAATGAGTTCATTATAACCAAAAATTTGTTATAAAGGCTTATTCTTAATACTAAATCTATTGCGAGACTATTTTTCATTTACTTCGCTATAACCGAAATTTTCTTATATCCAGATTCGTTATATCGAGGTTTGTGTGTATAATATTCGAATTAGATTTAAATTTATTAGACCAAAATTATTATTCACTTCGAATTCACTTTGAACCTAAAATTTACTTCTCGCACCAGCCTAGCAGTGAGGCATGAAAAAGCAGTGCCTCTAAAACGAGGCTGCATGAAGAAATGCATCAAATTCTCCTACGTCATGCTATTATTTGAAACTTTGGCTAAAAATGACAACACCTTTCATTTGCATGTTTTCATTTGAATGTTTTTTGCGCGGATATTTAACTATAAAAATTCTGAGCTCAACGAATCAAAAGGCAATATTAATAAGAAAAGTGCTGAGAAAAGAACTATTCTGCTACAAGATTGCAAATTACAGCCTACACCTAGAAGAGTACCTCAAATGATCGAATACACTCTCCAAGTATTGCCAGGACTCTCAGAGAAGGTGTTAATACTGTGGCCACATTGGCCCAACGAAATTTCTTGAAAACTGGTATGTAGAGTCTCGGACCGCTTCAAAAAAGAGTGAACGTTTCCCGACTAGAAACAACATAGGTTCTAGAAGACACTGCCAAAATATAGAACGTCAGAACAACTGGTGCGAAGACTTCAAGGCGCTATCATCACCCTCATTTTCTTTTCCGACGTTTTCTCGCTTACCCAGGGTCTTCTTGTGGAAAGTGAGATGATTTTGGTATTGTGAACGAATGATTTACTGATGAGTAAAAATCAGTTAAGTGTTCCTTTAACCAATTACTTTTTTCTGCATGCAGTTAGAAACGTGCGAAATGCTTCCAAAGGATTAATGGTTCAGAGTATTGCATACCTGGCCACGAATCTGCAGATGCAAAGTCTGAGTTGTCGTTCCAAGTGTCTGACGCTATGGAACTGTTCTTCTGCTTCTTTAGTGCTATAACTTGTTGCTTCTTCTGAGTGAATTCTCGTGTCAACGCCTCATTCTGCTGCACTAGGTCAGCTAATCTGTCTTTCAACTCCTGTAAAATAAGAGGTAACAGCACTCATGTTTAGAAACACCCGCTTATGGCAGAGTCACGAGCTCTTGCTTTCAACGGGTATGAAAATTTGCAGGCCCGACTGGCTTCATTCGTAGGAGCTAGCGGAAGCAAGCCAATAAATGTAACATTGAATTGAATAGCTTTTGAAAAGCGCATGTCTGAAGAAAGTACAGAAGACTCTCATTAAACTGAATCTGAAGAGACCGAGAAAATGTGTTCCATTTAACAGCAGTTCCGTTTACCGAGAGGCGGACTGGGTTGCAGCATCCAGGAATGAAACCAATCATATCATATGCAGTTGCTCCAATCAAGCGGCAGTTCCATTTTAGTGGATTTCTAATTACCAAGAGAATCTACTGTACTACACGTAGTCTAACTTCATTTTACTATCCCTAGCAAGATTTGCAGCATTGGATAAAAAACATAAAATAGAGCTTGAAACCCAAAAAGGCACTTTTACCTTCACCGTATATATTTCTGTTTGCTACCATTGCGTATTTCATTTTGTCCTGTAATTGATAACAAGAGGTCCCGCTACAGTTCTTTAACTGTGGGACCTCTCTCTGTATACTTTCTTCTGTTTTGTAATACCCCGAGAAAGAATAAACTTGAACAAAGTTGCGAACACAAAGAACTTGACACTTGGAGGGTGAACCGGTTTTTAAATTTTTACATTGCAGAAAACATTCGGAGTGCAGAGATGTTTCAATTGCACCCTAGTGGATACAGCTATACTAGTACTATTTTGAGACATTCACCCTCCTCGAAAGCACCACATTCATATGCTTGCACACCCTTTCACCTCGAAAAGTCATAAAAAGTGACATGCCGACAGGTTTTTGACAGATGGCCACACAGAGTGCTCAGACTAAACTTTCCCTCTCTAAAGTCCCACTCGGATCCAAGCGTTCATACTTAATACGTAGCAAAATCGTGAAAACACTCTTCGAGGTTAAGGCAAGGAAATAAATGCAAGGTAGACGAAAATTGCATCTACACCATGAACATGTACCCCAAGGGAGTCAAAGGTGTTCCTTAAGTGCTCGCAGGTCTACATCTAGAAGGGCTGCTGTTAGAAGCTGCAGTTCTCACCTTTAGCTGAGCATTGTTGTTGTCGACGTCTTGTTGCTTGAGCTCCGTTTCCTTCTTGAGGCTGGCCAACGTTGACCTCAACATGTTTAGGCTGATCTCCTTATTCCCACAACTGTTCATTGCGAGGGAGTAATTAGCTGAAAGTGCAGGGAAGGAGAAGTCACTGCATTGAAAACTGCTGTATGAAGAGTGATGCTGCACGCTATTTAGAATTGAAGGACTTTCACTCACTGCTGGCTCCAATTGTTTTCAATCGGCCTTGATGGCTAAGTTTCTCTTGATTCAAGAGAAGCATTTTGTCCCCGATTTCCTAAGGAAATGACAAAGGCAGTGCCTTATAAGTAATACAGATGTACACATGGCATCAAGTTATTGCACAAAGAAGTGTGGCTCTGGTCACCAAAGCGGGTTGTTATGAAAAATTTTTAGAAAGTACACAAACACAATAGACTCAGATATCATTAGTAATTACACTCAAACTTCATTATGCAGTCTAGCCCACATATAACAGCCCCACTTAAAGTGAAAAAAATCCATGTGACCGTGAAAATATACATTGCTTTAATGGCAGAAAATCGCACTTACAACGAACGTCTCCGAGCGCCGCCGATAGGTTACAGCGAACGGAGTACGGAGTCTGCGCTCTGCGGACTTCCTGGAAAACCACTTCTGACTACCGACCAGGCAACAATAAAGTTCTCCATACCATACATACCATACCGACAAGCCCATAGATTCTTATTGTTAAACGCTGATCCTGCCTCCGCACCCCTCTAGTTGCAGCTCTTGCAGACCGCTTTCTGTTACGCACCTCCCCGTCCTTTGTCTCCCCGCTACTCTAAGCACCTCAAATTGCCGGACGAGGGCCACGTTTTCACAATGCCACCGGTATTTCGAAAACCAGTCGGCCATCTCCCCTCAGTGTTTATTGCTGGTACTGTCGTTGGCGTCGCCGGCCTGGAGTGACCAGACCAATTGCTGACATCGTCTGTATCCGATCGTCTACATCTTTCGTCTTATCGTATCATTCTAGTGCACGCGCAAACGCTACCCCATTGACTCTGATAATTCGCAATTCGTTTCGTGTTTAGGACCTGTTCTCGCTCACTTCGCACTCAGCTCAGCACACCCTCCACAAGCGTGCAGAAGCGTAAAAACAGCTGTTGATTTGAACGGAACGAATCGCGAATTAATGAAGTCGGTGAGGCCACGGAAACTCGCCAGTGCAACAAAACAATTCTTTGACTTCGGCCGCCAATTCTTTGAACACCGCCGCGCGCGCCGATCCAGGCAGCCGTGCTTTGACTTCTGCGCACACACGCACTTTTTCAAGTTTTTCTATGTGCGAGTTACGCGTTCTGCGGACCTTTCAAGCAAGCTACCCGATCTGCCTCCTTCCCGCGTATTCTGGTTTTCAAGGTCGCCTTCCAACCGTATCCTCCCCTCTCCTCACTCTATCGCAACTCTTTGCCCTTCTCTCGCATATCTGCTCTCTCCTCTTGATCAAAACTCCTTCACCCGTATCCACCACTCCACGACGCCAGTCACGCTGGCTTGAATTCAGAAGTTTTGTTCACCGACTAGAAATGGGCCCAGAGCTGTCCCACGCGCTCTGGCATGTGTGTCGCGTGTTCGCGTCAAGCTCGCTCTTGGTGTGCGTGTGTGGTCAGGATGGCGGACGGGAGGCCTAGCACGTTTTTACCTGTCGATCAAAAAACGTTAAGTGTGACTGCTTGGCTTGGCTGTAATCCACATGGTAGGTGCCGCAATACAGAGCACTTGCTTAGAGCTGTTGACTACCTCGCAGCCAATTTGTCACTTCTGGCATCCCGGTGTTCAGCTGTGGAGACGGTGAATATTTCGTGGGCGGCAGTGACGACTACATGCACGCGAAACTGTTTTCGCAGGGCCGACTTCGTCGACGTCGGGCCCAATGCCGAGCCTAAAGCTTCCGAACAGGACTACTCCGGCGACGACTTGTGGCACCGCATCGTCAACTCTGACATGGGAGAGAGGGTGGGACATCTGTTGTGATGGTTTCATTACAGCTGATGATGATGATGATGCCGACATCGAGCTGTGCACAGTTTAGGGCGTTGCGATTTAAGTACGTGGCAAGAGCGATTTGGTGGGATCGGATTGTGAGAATGACGAAACTTGGGGAGGCAGTGCCTCATGCAGCTTTTGCCACGGGCCTCGGCGAAGAGCACACTGCTGTTTGAAATAAACTCGAGACCGCCCCTATCGTTTCTGCTCTTCGAAACACGTGCATCACGGACTTTTTAGGGCAAAAAAATCTTGTGTTTTCACTTGCAACTTTTTTTAGAAGCTGTGTTTCATTTACTACGAACTTCGGAATGCAGCGAACAGATGCCACGTCAAGCTCAGGTTCGTTTTAAGCGGACTCAACTGTATAAAAGTTACATCTTACATGAAAATACGTTCCCTATATCAGAAAATTCACTATAATGGTATATTCCTAAAAATATATTTATTGCAAGACTATTTTTTATTTACTTCATTAAACATATATTTTGTTATATCTATGCTCGTTATATCGAGGTTAGGGTGTATAATGAAATCCCATCTTACACTAAAATAACTCATAATTCAAAAACTTGTTGGAAGCCAGTGTTCATAACATTGTATCTATGAGACAGTTACTGTTTGATCACTTTATTAAAACCAATAATTTGTTAAAGACTTTATTTCCTCACATATAACTCGCACCACTACATGCAACTACAAATAGAAAAAGAAAAGACATATATTAGGCCGCACCCAAACTTTTTGAGCATAATATTCTGTTTCTTGATGCCGGTTATATGTGAAAAAATTTGCCATATATTCACTATATCAAGGTCTGAGCATACGATAGTTCATAAAATGCAGTAGCATTCTGTAACACTAGTTAAATGCACACAGGTCAAGCTTTGAAAATAGTTCAAAACAAAGCACAACGTGCCAACAGGGTAGTTGAATTCAAACATACCTTCAGTTCTAGTCTTGCTTCGTTGAGCTCCCTCATTTTGGTGTCCCTCTCTACCCTCATCTCGTCGATGCATGCTTTCATCTCGGCAACACCTTTCTTGGTGTCTGCCAGTTTTTGGTTGGCCTCGTTAATTTTGTTCTCCTGCAAAGCAACGAAATGACAGACATAGTCTACATGAAGAATAATTCCTCACACTTGCTTCAAAGCTTTCATTTGCACACCCACATTTCTTAATAAATCTAAAAACCTCATCACGAAAAAAGTTCACACATTAAGAGGATGACTCAGAAATAGAAAAACAAGACAACTTAAGTGCCAGCATCTGTGTAATCTTGTTCTCTTATCCGTGCCCATGTTCAGATATCTAATTTTATTTCATGATGAGTCCCTAGAAACCAATAGGAATGACATGCCATGATCTCCAATGCCACACTGAAGGTCATGCACCAGAGCACTGTGGTGCCACAAATTTCCAAAGCATTCACGCAGGCTTAGTTAATTTCCTTGTGTCCTCAAAGATGGTCAGAAGTACATAATAAAGGAGCCACACAATGGACTTAGCAAGCTTTAACAACTTCGAATGAACAGCAGTGCGAACACAAAGATACACTGCAGTATCTAGAGCATGCCCGAGACAAAAGCAAGTAACGCCGGCAACAAATACACTGGTTTGTAGGTGTTGCTTCTTTTTTTCACGAGTATGTAATACATGCTGCAATAAATAACCAGCATAACCAAGCCCATGTGCTTTAAGTATGACTTGTGACAGTGACAAGACTTTGCATCATGAAAAGGTGACATGATGGTTTTCCACATTCAACTATTTACTACAAGGTGAGCAAGAAATAATGTTTTGAGAGACCATCTCTTCCAATTAGCTTGTTGGCTATCTTTAATATTTCTTAAATTTTCTTACTTCCCACTGACAGCAGTAGCAGCAGTAGTAAATTTTATTTAAAGCTATTGAAGCTGTAACTTGGTCCCAGCAGGAGGAGCTCAGTACATGGCTTTCCAAGCTCTTGGTTAATTAATGAGCGGTTGCTGGTCATTTGGGCTAGAGTTAAATGCAGCTTTCAAGTAAAAGAAGCTAGCCAAAGAACAAGCTGCCAATACGCCAGGTCTGCAGACATGTGCAGATGTCTGAACATTCTATATAGTGTGGTACATGGCAAAAGTAACCAAAGAGCACGCAAGGACAACGCAAGACTTGGACACGACGTGAATGCTGCACTCAGTCCAATTCTCGGTTTGTACTTGTTTAAAGGGCACTGTTTGCTTATCTTTGCCATGAATCATTAACATGGCCAATTTTCAATGATATACCATCGGTACCCAACACAATATAGAATATCACAAGCCACCTTTTCCCAGCTACTGCTCACTTATACCAGACTATTAGGGCGTAAAAATACACTCTGAAGGTTCACAGTGAGCCTTTAGATAAGGCTTCCTAATGTTGCATTTTGTTCCCAATCTCTACGAGACAGCCATTGTGGTGAGTACCCACCACTTGTTCAATCTGTAGCGCGAGCGCTTTCCGATGCCCTTTAAGCCGGCTGACGTTCTCCTGCTCCCGCTGCTTCTGGGAGAGCAGCTCCTGTATCCGCTGCTTCTCCCATTCTAACTGCCGTTGCCGCTCCATCTCTCGCCGTGCAGCCTGGTCCGAAAAGAGAACGAACAGCGAAAAAGACGGATTTCAATCAGAATTGAACTAAGTGAAAAGCAAGGTGGTAATTAGACATGCGATATCAAATAATAGAGCAGAATCGTGTGGGACACAAGAGGGTACACAATTAACTAGGGGTGCGAATATTCGAAGGTTTCAAATATTCGGCGAATATTGCATTTGTAATATTCGAACTCGATTCGATAACCAGGTATTCGAAAATTTCGAATATTCTATGTTCACGAATATTCGTTGGTAGGCTTGTGCTGTTATTCAAATGCTTCGAATATTTAAACGAATATTAGGGTATTCGGACTCACTTTGGTTAGAATTTAAATTATTGAAAATTTCGATGTATTCGCAAGGAACAAGTAAATGCATAGTAATCCGAATGTACCATTTGTAAAGGTAGTTTCACTGCTGTGTAGGAGTGCTGAACCGTGAAAGCACCTATCCAGAAGAAATCCGCTTTGCTGCGAAGCCTTCCTTCAAATTTAAAGGGGCCCTGCAACACTTTTTGAGCATTGTCAGGAAACACTGCCGATTGGTAGTCGAGGCTACCGAGGACATGCAAGCCAATTATTATAGCACAGCAAGTGGCGTGCAATTCACAATAAATTCTCAGTCAGCTAAAAATTGCTCTCTTTTCTCGGCAAATGACCTGACAAGCTTAGAAAGCATGCGTGACGTATTTGCTTTCCCCGGGCCATCCCTCCCTCCATAGCTTCCAAAGCTTTCGTCAGGACAAGAAGAGAGAATGCACTAGCAGCGTGCGAGAAATATTCGCAACTCCGCGCATACTGGACGGATTCTAAAATTAGGTGTGGCGGTGAATTCATGAGGCAATACATAAGCTTCTTCAGTGAATTCATTCCATGGCTTCTTGACAAAGTGCCACATGGCGCCTTAAAATGAAAATATTATTTGTAAATAAATTCATTTTATTAAGCTTAAGAGCGAGTTACGACTGCTTAAGTGCTCTAGGTATAATAAATCTTAAAATGTTACGTATTTTAAGGGTTATGACTCACATCCTGCTGAAATAAAAATCCTGCTACTACTCAAAGTTCTTTCAACTTCTTTTGAACGAGAAAAAAAAGGGACTTTGCAAGAAGGCTCTATTTCATTAAAAAAAAAATATTGTGCAGGTTAGTTAGGCGATGAAAAATATGCCCATTTTTCTTTATATGTCATATACAGTCGAGCCCACATATAACGGCCCCACTTAAAAAACGAACTTTCGCTTAAAACGAACAATATCGGCGTGACAGTGAAAATATACATTGACACGATTGATTGAAATATTGGGTTTAACATCCCAGAACCACCATATGATTATAAAAGACGCTGTAGTGGAGGGCTCCGGTAATTCGACCACCTGGGGTTCTTTAACGTGCACCCAAATCTGAGCACACAGGCCTACAACATTCCCGCCTCCATCGAAAATGCAGCCACCGCAGCCGGGATTCGAACCAGCGACCTGCGGGTCAGCAGCCGAGTACCTTAACCACCGCGGCAAGACATACATTGACTCAATGGCACAAAATCGCACTTACAACGAACGTCTCTGAGCGCCGCTGATCGGTTACAGCGGACGGAGTCGGCGCTCTACAACTTCCCGTGAAACTAATTTCGACCACCGATCAGGCATCAGCGAGGGGCCCACACATTCTTATTGTTTAATGCCCACCCTGCCTCCGCGCCCCTCTAGTTGCCGCTCTCCCCGACCGCTTTTTGGTTATGCAGTCCTCCGTCCTTTGTCCCCCCCCAACTCTGAGCACCTCGCATCGCCAGACGAGGCCCATGTTTTCACACTGCCACCAATCTTTCAAAGACTGGTCAGCCATCTACCTTGTTTTTGATCACTGGTACTGCCGTTGGCGTCGCCGGCCTGGAGTGACTAGACCATTTGCCAACACCGTCGGCCACCGACTGTATCCGATTGTCTGAGTCTAGTGCATGTGCGTACCCCACCGACTCCGATAATTTGCAATGATTCATTTCGTGTTTAGGACCTGTTTTCGTTCACTTCGCACTCGGCCCAGCATGCCCTCCGCACGCATGTGGAAGCGCGAAAACGGCTGTCAATATGTGCGGAACGAATCGCGAAATATCGAAATTAGTGAGGCCACGCAAACTCGCCGGTGCAACAAGACGATTTTTTTACCACGACCACCGATTGATTCTATGAACACCGCCACGCGCATGAATCCAGGTGGCTGTGCTTTGACTTCTGCATGGGCAGGTACTCTTTCAAGTTTTTCTACGCGCGAGTTGTGCATTCCGCAGATCTTTCAAGCAAGCTACCCAACCTGCCTCCTTCCTGCGTGTTTTGGTTTTCAAGGTCGCCCTCCCACCGCATCCTCCCCTCTCTTCCTTCTATCCCAACTCACTGCCCTTTTCTCGCAAATCTGCTCTCCTCTCTTGATCAAAACTCCTTTGCCCATCTCCACTGCTCCGCGACGCCAGCCATGCTGGCTCGAATTCGTTTCGTTTTCTGACTAGAAACGGGCCCAGACCTGTTCCACGTGTTCTGGCAGTTGTGTCACGTGTGTGCGTCTTGCTCGCTTTTGGCGTGTATGTGAGGTCAGGATGGCAGACAGGAGGACTTGCTCGCTTTTTTTTGTCGCTCAACAAAACGTCGAAGGTGTGACCGCTTGGCTTGAGCGTAATCCGCGCGTTAGGTGTCACTTTGCGGAGTGCCTGCTTATAGCTGTTGACCACCTGGCAGCCAACTTGCCGCTTCGGGAATCCGGTATTCAGCTGGGGAGATGGTGAATATTTTGTGGGCAGTGGTGACGGCTACATGCGCACAAAACTGTTTTTGCGAGGCCGAATTCGTCGACGTTTGGCCCGATGCCGAGCTTGAAGCTTCCGAACAGAATCACTCCGGAAGCGATTTATGGCCTCTCGACGTCGACTTCGAACTGGGAGAGCGGGTGGGACATTTGTTGCGATGGTTTAATTGCGGTCGATGATGAGGCTGACACTTCGGAACCGTGCACGGATTATGGCATTGTGCATGAAGTATGTGGCGAGAGCGATTTGGAGGAATGCGATTGCGAGAACGACGAAACTTTGGAGCCAGTGCTTCATGCAACTTATGCCACGGGCCTCGGTGAACGAGCACCCTTATCACTTTTGCTCTTCTAAACACGTGCATCACGGATTTTTTGGGGCAAAAAAAGTTTGTGTTCTCACTCGCAACTTTTTAAAAGCTGCGTTCCATTTATTAGGAACTTCGGGATACAGCGAACGGATGACGCGTCAGACTCAGGTTCGTTATAATAGAGCTCGACTGTATATACTGCTCGAATTCGATATGAAATCATTCGACCAAAATATTTGCTTCGAACCTAAAATCCACTTGGTGCAGATGGCTGAGATGCGAGAAACATTTCGTGAAACAAGAGGAGAAAAAGAGAGGAAAAAACTCAGCATTCTTGATCGCAAAATGGCGAGCGCGGTCCTCGAGAAAGGCAACGGAAGCAAGCAAGATGACGAGTATTGCTATGTAGTTGAAAAACGCCCTAAGTATTCCTATTTTCCTTAGTGACTTGACCGGATATGAGAACAGGGGACAAGATCAAAAATAAAACTATAAAATTGGGGTCGTTCAAGCTAAAACAGGATGAATTGTGACCACCTAGACTGCTTTAATAATTGCTTAGACTTAAGTACACGAGTGTTACCTGTTACAAAATCAAACCAATGGCCTCATGCTCACTAGTCATAAAGGCAGGTACAAAAGCTTTTCTTTTTTTTTTTTGTAATAAAGTGCTAGCATATAAAAAAGATACAAAAGGTTTGTTCATCATGTGAATTGAACCCAACATCACAGTCACACGCTCACCTATTACTCTTATGCTTTTTGGCAAATACAGATAGTGACATTTTTAATTTTTGTGTGCGATAACTGACTATATTAACAATTGTACTGTTTGCAACCTAAATATATGCTTGAGTAACAGATTACTGGTGGAAAAAAATTGCACCTTGTCATTATTCGATATTCGATTCATATTCCAAGTTGTGTATTCACATTCGATTTGTATTCAAAAATTTTGATATTCGCACATCTCTACAATTGACCTTACAAGGTATTATTATAACATGTGTTTCAAAAGCTACTACTGACTACATTGGACAAAAATGCCCTTTGTTACAACAGCCGAGCTGTTCAATCTCATCATTCAGCTGGTTTGGGTGACCAGCAGAAAGAGGGTATGTACTCAGCAGCTCCTACCATGGCATGGCCATGCATAATATAAAATAGCTCATCATTCAGCTGGTTTGGGTGACCAGCAGAAAGAGGGTATGTACCCAGCAGCTCCTACCATGGCATGGCCATGCATAATATAAAATAGCTGAGGGTTGTGGGGATCTGAGGAGCGCCCGCGACCATATCGCGGGCATTTCGCCACACGGCCTCGCGGGCATTTCGCCACACGGCCACACCCTTTTGCTTTTCTGCTCTGGTAACGGCTCGTAGCGATAGATGGCGCCACGTGCGGGCGCCGCACGTGTTACTTGCGCGTTGAGGGAGCTGTCTCTCCTCCGTGGTTGGCGCCAGGTAAGCAAGTGTTTTCCTTCGTCCGCGTCCTCTTTGGGAATCACCGGACTGTAGCCTGCCTGGGGTGGCCTTTGGCACCTCGGCAGGCGTGTTTACTTGAGTGCTAGCTTCGGTACCGTACGCTAAGCCCACATCGGTGCCTAGTGCTTGAAGTGGTCGTACCACACCGAGCCGCACTTGCCGTAGGCCTACGTGTACGAGGTTTGCCCTTAACACTCGCGACCAGGCCCAGTGGCCATCGTGAGAGTGCGCAGCATAGCTGCGAGGGACCTTTTCCCGACCGGCGTGTCAAAGCTCGTCATTCCCAGCTGTGACGTGCTCACGGTTTCCCCTTATTGTGAACGTCCGCGTGCGGGTGCCTTTGCTCCTTGCATCACGGGAGCGGACGTTGTGCTGTTGTTCGGGGTGCTGCCAAAGGCAACAAAGTGTGTATTTTTGTATTGGAACACTGTCTGTTTTGCCGCGCCGCGCTAAATGCCTTATTAGTTGAGCGCGCGCGGAGCAGTGCGCTACACGCGAGTAGGTGGCGGAGTCGCGGCTCTGTGGCTCGCTAAGCGTGAACCCGCGGTGATCATTCGCTGCAGTTAGTAGCGGGGTCACTATAGGGTGAGGAGCAAAAAGAGGGCAATATACAGTCAACTGCCGATTTTTCGGACACCCGAATTTTCGGACATGCCCGATATTTCGGACATCTTCGCGGCACCGCCACGAGCACCATAGAATCAATGTATAAAGAAGTCTGAAATTTCAGACGCTCGAACCCCCCGGAGTACAACTTTCCGGACTTTTTGACGCGAAAGGTCGGAAACCACCACTGACCTCCAGTGGAAACCACCCCAACTGCATCACACGTGATTACGATTGCATAAATGAGCGCAACGGTCTACAGTGGCGGCATCTGTTGCTTGGACTCGATCGTTAGCAGAGAAACACACACGGCCTCCGAGATTCCTAAAAGGGTGCTTCGCTGACAATCGAAACTATCCACCCAGAAATTTTTTGGCGGCAGTAAAGTTCTTTTCGCTTTAGCACTTGTGCTTGTGCGCGCCACTCTGGCTTCCCGCGCCGCGCTTTCGCGAAGCGTTTCACCACTTTGAACTAGAATTAACCGTCACACACCGATTTGGTCTGGCTACGCTTATTTCGAACGTTTACCAGTGTTACCTCCGGAGTACCCAAGGCACCGTCGCCTGCCGTCGCGCTGTTTTGTTTACGCAGCCCACATGGTGTTTGGCTAGCCTAGTGCGTGGTTGTGCGATCGTGTGAAGTGTGCTCCGCAGCGCTAAGCCTAGGTGCTTCGACGCTCGTCAGCAAACTTGTGCTGTGCTCGGAAAACGGGAAAGGCTACAGCGTTGACCTTTGGTCTGCTGTCGGAATGCTTGCGGACGCATGGAAGGCAGTAACGTAAGGCACGCTTCGCAACTGCTTTCGCCACGCGGGCTTCGTACTCGACACAAAGGCAGCAGACTTGCCTGAAGAGAGCGACAGCGTGACTGACTTGTGCCCTCTCATGGAAGATATTATCAACGACCTCCGCTCTGCTGGTGCTTCCATGCCTACAGAAATAACTTTTGAGCGGTTCGTCGATGCTGACGACGAGCTCGACTTCTGCACAGAGCTAACCGACACGAAATAGTCAGTCACTCCGATGAAGACGACTCCAATGTCGAAAAAGAGGAGCCAACGCCTCCTCTGACATGACCCTTGCTCAGATCGAGGCGAATGTGATCACATGCAAGCGAAACGTCGTTCAAACAAGGATCAACAAGTTTTTCAGGCCACTGCAGCTCTAACACCGGCTGCCCTGACGGTACCCGCTGTCGGCTGCATGTATTCTTTTTTAACAGCTCTGTTCAGAGCCACCCCACTGATGCTTTGGCAGAGTTCCGGAAGTCTGGTACTTCGACCTTGACCCTCTTGATCCGAGAAATATCAATGAAATGGTGCGTTTTTTGCTTGCATTGAGAATTGATTGATATGTGGGGTTTAACGTCCCAAAACCACTATATGATTATGAGAGACGCCGTAGTGGAGGGCTCCGGAAATTTAGACCACCTGGGGTTCTTTAACGTGCACCCAAATCTGAGCACACGGGCCTACAACATTTCCGCCTCCATCGGAAATGCAGCCGCCGCAGCCGGGATTCGAACCCGCGCCCTGCGGGTCAGCAGCCGAGTACCTTAGCCACTAGACCACCGCGGCGGGGCGACTTGCTTGCATTGAGAAATATTTGATCCGAGAAATATCAATGAAATGGTGCGTTTTTTGCTTGCATTCATTTTTTCGGACTGCCCGAATTTTCAGACGGTTTTTCGCTCCCTAGAGGGTCCGAAAAATCGGCAGTTGACTATAGAAGAAAACAAGGAAAGAAAAAATAAGATACAGAAAAGGATAAAGAAAGGAAGAAACATAAAAGAAGACAAAGAACAAGTTCAAGAAGGATCAAAGAACACAATATGCAATCGCCAAGTGGTGCCACTTGCTCGCCAGCTCGGCTCTTTGCCCATATTGCACAAGCAACTGGCTAAACTTTTTTTTTTTTGCATACCCATACAGTAACCTTGCATTTGTTTAGTTACTACGGCCCTCCAACTTGGCATACAGCAATGCTTTCTCTGGATTGGAACAAGAGGAGCTTGTTGAAGCTAAACATTCAGCTGCTTTGAAAGCATCCTGGAGGAACTAACGGAATTTCAGCAAATTTTATCAATAAACTAGTCATCAAGAACCTTGTCTGCGAGAAGAGCAAAAGCAACGAACCTCTCTTTGTTCCAGCGCTTTCCGTCTCTGTTCCTCTTTCTCCTGCTCAATCTCTCGTTGCCTGGCCAGCTGCTTCTCGAGTTCCAGCTGACGACGCCTCTCCTGTTCTTGCCTGCAAGAGCCAGAGTGGAACTAGAACACACGAACTGCAGCACTTTCTATGAGTGAACGGTTAATAAAGACACAGACCTGTGCCGCAAACTGAAACAAGGACAGTTCACACGCCTAGAAGATATCTCTCTGCAAGTGCCAACGTGGCACGTGCCATTGAAAAAAAAACAGGCCACATTGGCCAATCGAATATCATACGAAGCCAGAAGCTATAGAGAGAAAAGACGCGTTGGCCCGGTAAGGCGTTAACGTTCGGGAGGGCAACATTGGAGGAGGTACCTTGTCGGACGTCAACGCTTGAAGGACTTTGCACACGGCACATGCTCTGCTCTGGCGCCCAGCGGACAAAGCACCTGCGACAACCGGCCTGACCCTTCTCGGCTGGCAACATTGCCGCCGCCGCAGTTGCTTTGTCCGTCCCCAAACGCGTGAGCGAGTCGTTTGTTTGAGCTGACTAGATTCTGAAGATACTTTGCCAATTCACATTGCTTGATGTGCTTTGTATTTGTGTTGTTTGTGCCTCTTTGTGTTAGAATATATGTTTGTGTGCAATGCCACTTGCATCCTATTCCTTGCTGCCCTAGCCAGAGTCTGTGACATACATGACTAAGCATGCTCCCGAACCTTATTGCACAATACCTTCTTTAAAACCCGGTATCACTTATACAATTATTATGAACCTTGTGCGAACAGTGAACTTCGTCAAATAATTTCGAATTGAATTCAAGTAGTAGATATCGCCTATTATAAACAATGGGCATATTTGTCATGACTCATTTCAACTGCACAATGTTTTTAAAAATTGAAACAACGCCTGTGCAAACGACTTTTTTTTTTTTGCTCCAAAGGAAGTGGAAGCAACTTTGAATAGTACTAGTAGGATTTGACTTTCAGTCGAATGAAAATGATACCTTGTAAAATAGATGCTTTAAGATTTACTATAAAGCACATAAGTCGGTATAAAAAGCTTTTAAACTTAAGGAATGAACCGGTGTGAGGGTAACATCTTTGTTTAACCGTGCAGATGTTTCCTGAATACGTGTTTTCATGGCTTAGCATTCCTCCACTGTAGTGAAACCATTTTTACTGAAGGTGTACACTCGTATAGGTGTTTTCATGGCTTAGCACCACTTCACAGTGGTTAAACCACCTTTACAAAGAGTTACACACGAATTAACATACATAAAGATAGATGCCTTCACGGCTTATCGCCTTTTTACTGCAGTTAAACTACCTTTACAGGAGGTTACAAGCAAACATTATACAGTCGAACACGGATATATAGAACTCGAAGGGGATCGCAAATTAGTTCGATATATAAAAAATTCGATATAAAAAAATAGAGGCCCCGAGAGCTTACTTGTAGCGCATCATCGCCTACAATAGGCGCATTCAAGAATGACAACTAATTCCACGCACACGCACCTCCTTATTTGCGTGAAAAAAAAAAAAAATCGCTAACCTTGGCCTGCTTCGTTTTTGAAATGTTGAAGACGCTAGTCTCGATCTTGTCCCAATTCGCGAAACGCGTAGTCTATGCGCTTGTCGTCGTCTTCACCGGTTTCCGCAAGTTCTGCCATCCTGAAGCCTGCCTTGCAGAAGCAGTTGACCACTGTGTCTGTCTTCATGTCTCGCCAGGCATCGAAGATCTCCGTGGGAGAAAACTTTACGGAGAATTCCAGCCACTCCTTCGTCATCCACTGCTGGATGTCCTGGCTGCAGACAGCTTCGCTTTCGCCAGAAATGGTTTTGCCAACGATACTGTAGCGCTGCTTAAATTGGTCAAGCCACCCGCTGCTGTTGGCAAAGTTGTTTCACCGAGTACAGCAACAAACCATATGGCCTTGACAATTGACATCGAGCCATCCATCAAAATGTTCTTCGCGCGCACGTCTAAAAACCAGGCACAGAGTGCCTTTTCTACATTCCCGTGGGCAGAAGCGTGCACATGACAGGCTCCCGATGTCTGCTGCTCTGCCACCTTTGCCCTCATATCTGCCTTGTTTTTCATTAAGGTACTCGGAGTGCTCCGTGGTATCCCAAGTTGTCCGCGACGGCCAAACATTTGTCACCCACCTCAACACGCTGAATAGCCTTTAACTTCCGTCGCAAAAGTCAAGGGTCTTGCGCTTCTTGACGCTGGCCATAGCTACACAAGAAGTGGACAATTCAAGGAGTCCGCAGCGGCTTTGCACACCACGCACACAAAAGAAATGCTGCACATGCGGTGGTACGTAGACAACGCGACAGCTCAAGAGCAACAAAGCGCTTGCGAGGCTATGGCTACCTGCGAGGGCAACAGCAAAAGGCGCGAGCTGTGTTTGGCTGATCAAACCTAGTAAAACAGCAACAAGAAAAAAAAAAGGCGAAAGGAGGAAGACGTCTGCTCCTTCGTTCCTGCTCTTCAAGCCGACGCGTACGCGGAGAAAGCATGAAAGAACAAAAGAGAGAGAAAAAAAAGAAAAGCCGTTCCACAAGTTGGAGATTGCGCAGTTTGAGTCCTCTCGCCCTTATGTTTTTTTTTTAGCATTTCGGGGTATGGCGGAGGCGTGGCGCGGCGCAGAGGTCGCTGGGCGCTACTGCGAGTGCCAATACCGTGCCTTCCAAATCGCGGGCAGAGCCGGGCTGCCGCCGAGATCGCAAGTGGTGAGGGCAAGAGCTGAAGCGCACCTTCCAGCTCGCGCGCCGTTTGATATATCCGAAGGTGGGTAAAAATACTGTTCAATATAAATGTACGAATTCCTATACACTAAAACCTCGCTATAACTTAACGGGATATAACGAAATGATGGATATAACGAAGTAAATGAAATTCCTCTTGAAAGCTCCATTGAGAACCATGCATTTTTAACCTCGTTGTAATGAAGTAAGATTGACCGGTAAATGGACATCACGAAAAATTAGTAAAAAAAATTTATCAAAAATCAAATAAATTTATCAATTTATCAAAAAAAAAAAAGAAAACAACCTTAGTGTGTCAAGTATATCGTTTTCTGCACAGTTTGATGTTCGTTCGGCGCGGCACTTTCAAAACTTTTGAGCTGACCTTACAGCCACGCCATGCACAGCCGAGGGAGCCGTTCTCCTCACACAGCCAGCGGAGAGGATTGAGGAAACGCTCAGAGGGTCACATGACTGAGAAGCGGCGGCGTGATGCAAAGTGATTTCCCTCTCACTTAAGAACACACAATGGGGAAGCTTTAGAAGACTTACATTTACTCACAAATCAGAGGACATCCGTCATTAATTGAAGTAATCAGTGATGCACGTCTGCACACCTTTGCTTTGCAGCGAGTCAATCAATTTTGCACGCAGTTTGCAAAGCATAGTAGCATCTCCCCACGGAGAGAAGCAGATCGGCATTAGAGAAAGAGCCAACTATATACGACAGCTCTTTTCATTTTTTTTTCCCTCTCCGCGCGCGGCCTTGAAAGGAGAAGGAAAAGACAGAAAAGACGTGCATGGACAGAAAAGGGAGAAGCGTGGCACAAGCGCATCGCAGATCGGCATTTGAGAGAAAGCAAACAATCCGCCACAGTCTTTTTTTTTCTTTTTTCTTCTTTTCCTTCTTCGAGCGCAGCGTTGAGAGGTGCTGCCGTGGGATTGGGCATGGTGCTGAAAGCATTTTCGGAGAATGGTATGGTCGAATCAACTGTCGCAAGTGCCTGCGCGTTCGAATTACAGGGCACTTTCGCCCATTGGAATACACATAGCTTTGATGGGACCACAGCATGAGTTCGAATTAACTGGAAAGAAGTTCAAACTAAGTGTGTTCGAATTAACGTGATTCGACTGTGTTTCTTTCCTGTCGCATGTGTGGTTATGTAGCAGTACATCGGGTTGTGAGGCAGTTTCCTTCTTTGCATGCTTATAGGTGTGCGCCCATCAGAGCATACGTTGCCACAAACTGTTAGAATCAATATAACGAAATAATGGATAAAATGAAATAATTGTGGCTCCCCTCCAACTTCGTAATAATGAGGTTTGAGTGTACTTTTAAAAGGAATTTCAAGGGGATAACTTGTGAGTTCGATATACCCGAAAATTCCATATAACTGTGTTCGACTGTATTGTTTGGAATACTTCCAAATTTTCAATATTTTGATTTCAATTCAAAGCGAATTCAAATACTTTAATACTCACTGGAATATTTGCACAAGCGTACTATATACCATTACACATCACGTGACTTTTAACCTGCGTTTTTTTTTTTTACAGAGGTGAAAAATGTTTGCGAACAGTGGTGCCTTACCGTATGCGTTCTCTCTTCTCCTGCTCCTCACGTTCCTTGCGTTCCCTCTCCTGTTGCTCCTTGCGCTGACTCTCGAGAAGTGCTTGTCGACGCTTCTCCAGCTCTGCCTGGCCCTTTTCGAAATTTGCTCGCCGTTTGTCCTCAAAGGTGGCCATGTTCTTGTCATCGATCGTCACCTCGCCCGGCAGTGCGCCCAGCAACTCGGGTACAGGGCCTGAAGCCAAATAAAAAGATGTCACGAGCCCTTGCACAATCTGGAAAACTCGAGAAACTAAAACTTGTAACGTGCAGCTCCGACATTTCTTTTTTTCTATCGCATATCGCAATGCTCCCTCAAAACTGTACCTGTCCTACGTGCCTGGAATCAGAGCTCCGTGCATGTGCATAGTAATGCAACACTTCTTCAGTTGCTACAGGTGGTCATGTGTTCATTTTCAATGGGGCACCATGAAATGACAAGTCGCCTCGATAAAAGATCAGATTGTTGTATAAGAGATGCCTGATCGCCAACAAGGCCCCAATCGAGAGAACATCAATTGCAGAAAAACTGTGCCTGTAAATGTGCTTGTGACCAGTGCACCTTAGAGGACCACGTTTCTGTACGATTGCTGCCACCGAGTTTTTCCCGTATGCCGTCACAAATGAAAAAACTGAGTAATAAAGATTTCACTTCAAAATCCACAATGATATCATGGGGGTTTAATCACCCGGTCCCCCCATAGATTAGGTGGGATGTTGTAGTTTGGTGGCATGGGGAGAGCTGCAAATGCAGTTTCAACCTCTAGAGGTTCTTCAAAGCATAAAAAAAATCAAAAGCAACCACACCTGTGGACTGAACGCTGTCTGACCGCTTGCGTCGGTACGACGGTGGTATCAAGTCCAGAGGAAGCTTGGCTGGCAACGCATCCCCCGCTTTCACGCAGTCAACGAGGTGCATTGCTAGAACAAACTCCTCGCACGTTAGTCGTCCGTCAGAGTCGATGTCTGACAGGTTCCTGCATAGACGACGAAGGTGAAGGACCAGGTTTACGCCGTGTGGCAACAGCATGGAGAGGTGCAATCATAGGCATGTTAATAAATCGGCGTTGAAAGAAAGACGTAAGGAAGGATATGGTACATGAAAAATATATTGAGATGAAACTCAATCACTGAAAACACAAGGAAGGCGGGTAATGACATAACAGCAATATTGCAAAGCACACAGTACCACAACCAACACGCAACAAGCATTATTGTTCCTCGCTGCTTTCGCTTTATTGTCAGGTTGCTCTTAAGATTGTAAGAGTGCTCTTAACATTGTAATGGCTGTTTTCGTTGGAAAGGCTTTTTTTTCCCGAGGAAACATGCTCTTAATCCACACCAAAAAGCATCACGTCAGTTTTTTTTTTTTTTTTTTTTGCAGCGCATGGGACACTGGTTTGAAAGCTGCGCCTGTCAATGTCACCAAAGTTTAAGTGCAAGTGACCTTAGGCACTCTCCCCACTGTGGGGCACTAGTATATTAGTACAATTTTAGGCGGGCATTTCGGAGAGACACTAGAATTCGTCAAAATCAGCAAAGCTAGTGTTAATTATACGATACATTAAGAGCACTTAAGGTTCAGTTTTTTCAACAGTGCCAGACGAGGCTACAAAGAACGATGAAAAAGTCTTAGACGAAAATTTCACTGCCGTGGGTCCTTTCAGAAGGAAAGGCAGTTCTGAGAAAAGAGCGCCAGATATAACTGCTCATAGCAGCCTTGATACAAGGTGCATTGCTTAATTTATAGTGAAAATGATTTGATGCTGTAGCATAAATGCTGACCAAATTTTAAGAAACCATTTCAGAGTCCCTTCAGTGATTTTACAACTACAGCTTTCCTTTTGTGTTCAGACACAACAACCATATTTAGTCACATATTAGGCACACTTTTTTTCCTGAAAATCCAGCTCCAAGTTAGGCCTGTGCCTATTACTAAAATTTCGAAAACTTCATTTCTAACTGTAGCATATACCGTTGATAATGTATATGTCGCCGAAGCCACAGATATCCACACTACAGCTGATACAACCTTCTTCATATGTTGTAGGCCCGTGTGCTCAGATTTGGGTGCACGTTGAAGAACCCCAGGTGGTCGAAATTTCCGGAGCCCTCCACTACGGCGTCTCTCATATTCATATCGTGGTTTTGGGACGTTAAACCCACAAATAAATCAATCAACCTTCTGCATAGGCTACACAAGCGCAAAATGTGTTGAGCATGCCGTCTCGCACGTCCGAGAATCGAGCCCTGCGATACGGTGTGCCTTGAATTTTCCAAAAGTTAAGTTAACGAAAGACCCGCATTGCCAATGAAATGAAAGGGGAAAAAATAGAACCACAAAAATAAAGCACCATCGCAGAAATTTGCCAACAACCTTTCAGTCCATCGAAATTATGCGCATTTATCACGACTGAAATTTTTTGCGCTGAACAGCTCCAATCGTTCGATTTGATGGTCTCGCACTCCATATCCAAGAGACTGCAATCGAATCGCGAACCACCATTCGAGTGTACAAGCACTGCCCAAGCCCCTTTCCTTCAAGTAGAGCCGCCGAAAGAGCTCTGTTGATTCCGTACAAAAAACGCAACTTTGATCGCTCTCGACCGCCACTGATAAGCACCAAAAATTCTTAGGCCTAGCCTACAGTTCGGCATGTTGCCACAGGAAGTTTGCACACATAAAGATTGGGCGTCGAAATGATTGCCATCAAGCACTGATCCAAGAGCAGCGGGCCTAATACGATGTTTAGGTTGACGGCCAGCAAATTTATGGCGATGAAAGTCTGTCAAGATTGTGCAAGTCCGCATAGTGGTAGCAAAAGTGCAGACTCATGTCGAAAACCTGAAAACTTTTAAATTTGTGGACAAGGTAGCAAACACGATAACAACGACGCTTTCTTTTTTTACAGGAAATTCAATGAGCACTTGACGACGACGCGATCGCACGTTCCATGCGAAGTGCACGCGGCCGGTTAGCGGCCAGAGCCTTGCCGGTGAATAGGTTACTCTGACACCCAGGCAACCGCCCTACTTCTTCACTTGGCGGGCCCCCTGAGCTGGCGCGATTTTTTTCTTTTTCTCTGGTCAGTCAACGTAAGAGGGCGTCTAATTGCAACCGTACAAATACGGTACAGAGCTACTGATCCCGGCCAATTTCGGGGTGTGCATAATATGCGTGGAAATTTTTTTTTTTAAATCTGAGTTCTCGCCACCAAACTGGGGGTGTGCCTATTATGTGAGTAAATGCACTAGATCAGGAGAAAATCTACGTAAGCTGAGATACTGAAGCCTGCTATGATCTATGATGCTAATTCATCTTCATTTGAATTTCAGCTTATAGCTCAGCAACCCCTCCCACAGTTGCCCCTAAGCAGCTTTAAGTTTTTTTCCCCTTCAAACCTAGTATGTGCAAGAGAGAAATTGGCATGCAATCCCTTAAATATTATGTTTAAAAATGTTACCTTCTTTCTTTCTTTTTGTAAATTGCATAGTCGTGCAACTCACCAGATCTGGGCAAGAACAGGCTGAGGCAAGGCTGATTGGAGTAAAATGGTGCGTGCCTGGCCACCACCGAGAAATCCACTACGGCTTCGGTCGTGGGAGTTGAACAGCTGGGTGTACTTGAGCTTTGAAGGCTGAGGCACAGCCCACTCAGTCAGTGCAGGAGGCGTGGAGGCAGCAGGAGGTGGCGGAAAGGCAGGCGCTGGTGGCTTGGGTGGGATGCCAACACTGCAAGAAAAAACACAAGAAAAAATACTTCATGGTGCTCAACAGACTGTCCTGTTCTGAGCACGTGACCATTAACGCAACAAAAGATCGGCTAGCTCCAAACTGTGATAGCCATAGGACAGTGAAGCTGTAAGCACACAAAAGTGCATGAGAATAGGCTAAGACCCCTATCATTATCAGCATTTAGCATCAACATCATTTCAACCATTACCGCATTATATTTATTTATTCATTCCCCCCCCCCCCCCCCCCCCCCCCGTTCATGTCAACTGCACGAATATCACTACCACCACTGATATTGCAACTATGACGGTGACAACAATAATAGCAATTGGTAAGGATATGACAATTTCACTGTAGTGAAACAGGAGGAAAGCCTTTGCACGAGCACACCTTACGGTAAAAAAAGAGGCATCGATACTAGTTAGTTTTAGTATAGGTAGGAGATTAAAACATCCAAAGACCAAGCATGTCTTACAATTAGAATAATCTGCTACCACAAACCAGATCTTGTATATCAAAATTAAATCTAAATCCTTCCTACCAACGTCAATCAAAATTGGTGAAAAAGGATGCTACACTGTTAAAATATGTTTTAACAGCTCTAGTGACCAATGACAAATGTCATGAATGAAAGAGACAAGAGCGATGCTATTATGACGACAGAACCAACCCAGGTAGAATGCCCAGCGGTGATGGATGGGGGGTGCCAGCCAAGGTTGGAGGAGAGGGTGCCATGGGAAAGGCAGGACCCGAAACGGGAGCCACCGGGTTGACTAGAGGTTGAGTGACAGGTGAACCCACGGACTCTGCAAGCAGAAAGGCAGGGTATTCACGAATGGGGCAGCCAGTCTGTGCAATTTTAATGCAACTGACATTCTAATGCACTTTAGCAGAGACTATAGCGGAGGGTCATGAAGTAGAGTCTAGCCTTGCACTGTTGGCATTCTAAGAAGAGTGCGACACATGCTTCCTATTAAAGTTGAAATTCTTCTACATTACTGCCTTGCATCCATTCATTCAGGGCATCCATTATAGTATTTTTCTTTACAATTTGTGATTTGATAGCCCAACAATTTGTGATTTGATAGCCCATATGTTTGCCACCTTTGCCATGTAATGACATTTATATGTTTATTCGATATCATAACCACTATTGTAATACGAAGTACAGTAAAACCTCGTTAATTCGAAGTCACTGGGGCCACGAGAAAGCTTCGAATTAAGTGGGTTTTCAAGTTAACAGAACATACAAGAAGTGGGATGCAAGGAACTTAGAACTGTTCAAGGTAACCAGAGCTTGTTTCCTGTGCCAGCTAGCTTGCGGCTCCGAAGGTAATGTTTTCCAGCAATACTTGGACTTTATTTTGCCGCGAACAAGAAGGAACAGTGGGCCTAGCTGCTGCCACCGAAAAAAAAAAAAACAAAAAAAACGCGGTCGTATTTAACTAAAATGTGCGCCTGCAGAAAATAAGACATCTTCACTGCAACGCAGTAGTGACATGCAGCCAGCATGTCGCCTGCTCTTCGCTTTGTCAGCACGTCATGATGCGACCACTCACATACTCTTTCTATTATAATTATGACTTTGATAATGGCCACTATGACGAAGCTCACGATGTGTTTTGGCTGAAAAAAAAAAACGATCTTTGAAACTTTGGAACTTAGTTTTCGAAAAAGGTGTTGCTGGCAAGAACTCCACCAGCAGTGCAAAGACGCAAATTGCTGGAGCAACCGGCAATCGAAGGTTCGCATACATCGCGATTTCCGCTAAACTGTCCTTTCTTAATTTCTTTACGATTCCAGAAAGAATGGGTAAACCATGACCCGCTGACGTTGCGAGATACATGCAATAAACTGCCCGCGTGTCAACGCTGTGTCGCAGTGAAGCACGGTTCGTTTTCCGCAGGGGCTGTTTTGGTTGACTACGAGGGCGTTTTTTTTTTCTTTCTTTTTTTATCTCCTTTTTTTTTTTTGTGCTGGAAGTGGCAAGGCTGCCACTCGTTAGTATCAATACGTTACATTGCCTTGTGGCTATTATTAGCCGTCGTGCTGCGGATTCACGGCGATATCGGGATCTGGAACTGGCACATGGCACCTAAAATTATTGAATTACCGGACTGGTGCTGGCCGCTGCTTCAAATTATCCCCTCAAACTTACATTGCAAAATACGGGACCGTGGAAATACTTCAAATTAAGTGGGATATCGAAATAACCGAGTTTGAATTAACGAGGTTTTACTGTAATTACGTTAAGTATGTATGAATGAATAAGCTAGCGGAAGTGCACCTATTGCTTCTTGCTAAATATTGCATAATTGTCCCCTTTAATTTACTGTACCATTCTAAGTGTTCCAATGCATCTATTTTTGATGACTTTTCACAGCACTACCATGCAAAAAAAAAGAGGACATATATCAAGCAGTAGGTTTGGCTTTGTTTTGTCCACTTCTTTCTTGTTAAAAGAAAATAAAGGTAAACAAATTAAATGAATGAAGTATTTCAAACATGCAGTACACTCTAGTACAGACATTCTTGAGGATGATGCTTTTGATACATATTTGCAGTTGCTGAAAACCAGACTTGCAACATTGTATTCAAAGATGGAGAAAAGCAATTTTACCAAGCTGTCGTGACAGGTAAAGTAATCCAGACGCTCGATGTTTTAACAGACACTTTATGGTACTCCAATTAAATTTGCTCACAGAGTGATGTTAAGCTGAAACTCAGCGCAGTGGCTGTGCCACAGGTTTGGATGAATATCAGTTTATTAAGCTACTGAAGTTTCAAACCTGTAATAGTTCAAATCTACGAGACTGCTTTAAGCTCTACCCGGGGCCGAAATTCCCACCAGCTCTCAACAAACAAACCAGCAGTAGCAGCTACTGCATCTAACCAAATCAGCACTTCCAACAATTGTAATGTTGTAAGAACCGCATTGCTGACCAACAGAGAGACAAAAAAATGGGTTAAATGTGCACACCGAGAGGGGGTCCAAAGGCAGCGGCAAAGTTTGCAGTGGGGAATGTTGTTGGTGACCGTAGAGTGGCCGGTAAGGTTGCCGGCAGCTCGATGCCTTTCAGTTTCATCTGGATGAGGTGCAGAGCCACAGCAAACTCGTGCTGGTTTATCCTGCCATCCGCATCCATGTCCGCAAGAGACCTGTACAAAAGTGTAATGCAAAATGCAGTTCACAAAAGGTAATCTACAGGATGTGGATGAAAGCAGGGGCAATTCTTTTATATATATATATATATATTAAAGCTCATGACAATATAGCTTTTACCCTTTGAATCATAACTAGCATGAACACATACATTAAAAAGTTGTGTGAGCAACTCTGAGCATGAGTCCTATGAAGTGCTGAGGGTAGGAGGTTACACTATTAGCACACAATACAACTGTAAATTGGCTGAAAGTGTGTTATAAATGAAATACTATGTATTACAGCATTATCAAAAGCTAAGAGACCATACAAATCGAACTAATGTATGCAAGATGCGGCAGTTTTAGAGACGAAGGACGATATCTAATGAATGGTATAATAAATGGTAGACAGTAGTATTAATATTTGCTATTTATTGAATGCAGTGAAAGATACTTTTCAGCAAGATGTCCACCAATCTGAAGACTGCATTAAGAAGAAACATGCTGCAAAGCTTTGCACAGAAATTATTCGAACCATCATTTAATACCATCAATGCAATCACGTTCCAGTACTTAATCTTTTAACAGAAGCCTACTTACCAAACTTTGGCAAGAACTGCAGGAGGTAAGCCCGACTGGAGAAACAGCTTCTTGGCTTGTTCACCTACAGTGGAGAATGAATTGAGCTAACAATGCCTGTATAGTACCTTAGCATCATCAAATTTTCAAGCCCACAACAGCATTTCCACATTTAAGACCCAGCAGGATAATAATTGGTACTAAGGCCAGTAAGACATGCTCACTACAATTGAAAACTGTTCGCCACATGTGAATGAAAAGTACAGACAAGGATAGCTTAGTTTGGTGTGACGCTGTCTCATACACTTTGCGAGATGGTGTATCTGAAGAAACTTAGCAAAGAGTGAAAGGTGTGACATTTTCTTACGACTAGCAGCCACCTTGTGTCACTAGTTGTTGCATTAAGAGAGGTGTATAACACATCAGAATAGCAGAACTGCATAAACATGTGTTTTGATGCAATCTTACATCTCCAAGTTCAAATTGTTACACAGGAGAAAGTTATTTCAGCAAGAGCATTACAGATCAAGCACATCTGTGCTGTGAAATGCAAAAGTGAGACCTTTATAAACACATAACTTATGTAGCTTGCCAAGAGTTGGCTGCTAAGTAGCAAATTAAATATAGACCTAAGATGCATCAAGCTCTCTGTGTGCACTAGCGTTGCTGCTGTATTGCAAAGGTTTCATGCATCCGGAGTTGCATGCTTTGAATAACAGCGGAACCTTTTGACACAGACAACGGAACGAAAAGACATGGAACTGTCCTTTGTAATAGGTTGCACTGTTATCTATAACACAATGAATTGAAAGTAGCTTGCCTACTTTACTGTCTAACTACAACTTGAAAATTTGGGCATCAGACATTTAAGCTTCTCTTTTTTGTATGGCTCACCAGTTATAAATCCTCCCGCTGGCTGCATCTGACGGTACTGGGCGTCGAACTTCACCCGAGATTCGGGCGGGATCACCCAGGGGTCGAAGCCTGCCATTGCGACGCTGATGCAGTCGGCACGACAAGGCAAAGGTCACATCCTGGAAGCAATTATGCACATGTTTACTGCAAGCGAACGTGCCAAGCAACAATCGCAAAACCTTGCAAGTGTCACTCAATAGCCCACCTGCAACCACAACAGTGCCATGCCTGAAGCACCACCCTAAGGCATCACTTAATTACTAAATCCCACGACCGGTGGGAAGGCAGACTTGGCAGAATATCACAAGAAAAAGGTTTAGGTGATCAACAGTGAATGAATAAGTGTTTTATCCCGAGCTAATGTTTGGTTCCTGACAAGGACGCTTCTTGTAGACATCCTGTCTATAAACATCCCCCGTTAGACAGCTGTTAAATTAACCAGGCAAAAGGCAAGGTTTCCTAACAAATTCACTGTGCTACAATGAAACAAACTTGAGCACTAACCAAACACAAACACTGCTTCGGCCACGCGCCAGCAAATGTTTTGCGAAACACACAGCATTATCTTCACAATGAGAGAAGCAGTGGCAGTGCTGAAGTGCGGCTCGCCCCAAAGGGCCCTGGCGCTTCACGCACCTATTTTCTTCAAGGTCACTAATATCGCCCTCCACTCTCAACGCTTCCTGCTCTTCTTTATCCATTCTTTCTTTATTTTTTAGCACTCATAGTTGCGGATCGCTCAAGCACCTCGTTTTTCGTTCGTGCGAACACTTCTTTAAGCAGGCTACAATGCAGATTTAAGGCGATCTCATGTTTCTACCCACAGGCTCCGATGCTGATTTAAGGCGATCTGACGTTTCTGACAAAAGAGGAAGCACGGCCTTCGCTATTACGCAATCACATATGCTGGTCCACTTATGTCCAAAAACAAGACCATCCTCTTATTCAACGACTTATTCATCAACGACAAAACAATTTCAGCGAACATGAGCCAACAGCGAGGGGGGCCACACCGATGTGACAGGGCGACGTCGGCGGACGGCGCAAACGTCAGCTCTATGGGGGTAAACGAAGTTATTTACATCATTTGCTCGCACCTTTCTCAAAACACGTACTAGATGGTCACGTTGTTATACCTAGAACTTGCAGTACAAAAGTTCACTTGGCGCCCCGATCTCAACAGCTGTCGGCTAGTCAACTCTCATAGCTACATCTGCCGAAAAAACTGACACGCATGGAGACTATGCATCAGCGAAGCCGGCAAAATCGATCGTATTATGAGATGCTCGTTACTAGCAGTGCACGGCAACTGAAGCCTGCGATGACCTCATGACCGACAGACGTGAATCACGCGGACAGTAGGGCAGTTATAGCTTCGTCGAAACCTTGCACGAAAACGCCCATATTTCGCGTGCGATTTGTCGATCAGTCAGAACTAGGCTTAAGTTTGGTGGGATGCAAATGATGTTTGCGAGTCCAGACCACTGCTTCGCGGCGAAAAGGCTCTGCTTACCGGGCCGAGCGGTGCCCCCCGTCAAAGCCACATCGCCATGGGGCCAGGTAAACGTCCTCGCTGTAGACACATTTATCTTTGCTGTTATGAATGGATAAAATCTCACGTAACGCCGTCAAAAACACCGCCCATCAACTGATCCAGCCGGTGCCCCCACAAATGGGTTTCGCAAACGCTATCGGAATGTAATTTGGGACGTTTTATCGCTTCAAAAGCACGTAGAAAATTTTGTTACGCACAAATGCGGTTCAGGTAACGTGACCCTTTGGCCGATACGAAACCAATGCGGCTCGAGCCGCCTGCGGCTATTTCGCCGAGAAGGTCGCTTTCGGTTTTTATTTTACCGCGTCCGTTGCAGCGGAGCAGCGCAACTAGGGTGGGACGGCAGGAAATAAATAAATAAATAAATAAATAAATAAATAAATAAATAAATAAATAAATAAATAAATAAATATTACCAGAAGCTTTATATTACGTGGGTGAATTTGACAGCACAAGGTGTGCAAAAAAAAACAAATGCATGTCACATGTCTTCGTTCTTTTTTTCTCGGAAATGAGCAAGAAAAAAAAAGTGAGAAAAAAGGTGAAAAAGGAGGGGAGGGAGAGGCATGAATTTACTAAGCACGTGCCCGCTTGACACGTGCTCTCATTGAAAGGTAACGCTACGCTTTCTATTGGTCGATCCCCCAGAGAGGGTATGTGCCATAATAAATAAACAAATAACAAAATGACATTCAGCCGCAGTTTTTACTGAAGTAACAAATTCCCGCTTTTTACTGGTCACTTTTTCTTTGCATTCCAGATATTACTCTTTTTTTAGCATTCTTAGGAACCTGTACAACGTGATAAATTTGAACTTAACTTAATTTGAACAGCCCTGTTATAGTTCATTTAGCTATAGCCCTGTGTATTTCCATATGGTAAAACTCCCGATAATTCTAAAAGGTATCCAAGACGATTAATTTGAACTGGCAGCCCCGGTTTTCGTCGCTACACACAGAGGTTGGTCCAGAGTGTTCACGGCATGTTGCGAAACCAAGCTATATTTACTAGAGATGCAAAACAACAGGCCTGGCCCCTGTAGACTTCCGCACGTAGAAAATAACAACAACAACAAACCAAGGAAGAACCACGAGAAAGGCGAAATACTAATGAAAAACAATTCCTGATTAGATGTTTGGGAGACTAGAATAACTAGTGGCACAGGCTGCGAGGCAGTTGTTTGCGGGTTTAATTCCCCAACTCGCAGAAATTTTCGAGTGACCATGACCTAAAATATATATTTTGTGTGAGCACAGTCATCGACTCTTCTTTATCAATTGGAGATGTCATCATCATTTGTATAATTTCCTCATCTGTAGATATCATCATCAGTGTGGGCCAGCTCGAGCTCGTCTCGAATAAAGCTCTTCCTCATAAGTGCTATATATATATATATATATATATATATATATATATATATATATATATATATATATATATATATATATATATATATATATATATATATATATATATATATATATATATATATATATATATCTTAAAATAGAGGTGTTGTACGTCGAAAAAGGTTCAGACGCAGCTTGGCAAAATATGCTTTATCAGGCAGGTCTAGCTAATGGCGAGCGGCGTGCGCGAGCTACTACTGCAGCCACCGATCATCGTCGTCTTCTTCATTGCCAGCAGAGCGTCCGTTATTCAGATTCATTAATTCATTACAATTACTCCCCGCGAAATAAGGAGCCATCCTGGCGACCTATGGACAAGTAAACACGGGAGGGTCGTAGCAGGGCTTAAGTCTCGAGACGTGGACAATTTCCTGACCACGACGACGTTGGTCAGAAGATGGTTCCAGTGGCTCAATGAGGTAATTCACTGGTGACGTTTTTTGTAGCACACGATATGGGCCGTGATACTTGGGGACCAACTTGGTAGAAAGGCCAGGTGTAGCCGAAGGGACATGCAGCCAGACGAGTGAACCTGGATCGTAGGAAGTAGTGTTACTTGATGCGTCATGGTGGTGCTTTTGGCGTCCTTGGTCTTGGGTTGTGAATGATCTGGCCAGTTGGCGGCATTCTTCAGCGTATGTAGCGGCTTGAGACAAAGTCGTGGACTCTGAGGAGTCAGGTTTGTACGAAAGAATGGTGTCCATAGTGCAAGAAGGTTCGCGTCCGTAAAGGAGGAAAAAGGAGAGAACCCAGAAGTGCTTTGAATGGCGGTATTATAGGCGAACGTGATAAACGGGAGCACTCGGTCCCAATTGGAGTGGTCTGACGAGATATACATAGACAGCATGTCACCAAGGGTGCGGTTGAAGCGCTCTGTCATTCCATTGGTCTGGGGATGATAGGCGCTTGTAGTGCGGTGAACGACGTGGCACTCACGCAGCAATGCTGTGATGACGTCTGACAAGAATACGCGACCACGATCGCTCAGTAACTCCCGAGGTGCTCCATGACGTAATACGATGTTGTGAAGTACGAAAGTCGCAACGTCTTTTGCTGTAGACGAGGGAAGGGATGAAGTTTCGGCATACCGCGTGAGATGGTCGACGGCAACTATGATCCAGCGGTTACCGTCAGCAGTGTTGGGAAGGGGACCATAGATATCGATGCCGACGCGGTCGAATGGTCGGGATGGGCATGGTAAAGGTAACAAGGTACCGCTGGCGTGATAAGGGGGAGTTTTTCGTCTCTGGCATGTCGAGCAGGCCCGAACGTATTGTCGTATAAAACGGTACATGCCACGCCAGTAATATCGGAGACGTATGCGAGAATAAGTCTTCAGGAAACCTGCGTGTCCACATTGGGGGTCGTCATGAAACGTGGAACAAATTTCGGATCGCAGATGACGTGGAATCACGAGTAGCCACTGACGTCCACCGGGTGCGTAGTTGCGTCGGTACAGCACGTCGTCGCGAGTGGCGAAGTGCTCGACTTGCCGACGCAACGAGCGAGAAGGAGGGGAAGCCGTCCGCCCAGCCAGGATGTCTAAAATCGAAGCAACCCACGGGTCCTTGCGTTGTTCTGATGGCATGTCGGCGATGGTGACGGCAGTGGCATCACAAGTTAGCCTTTCGCAGCAGTCCGGGTCAGGGGGTAGGGGCGAACGGGATAGGGCGTCTGCGTCCGAATGTTTCCGGCCGGAGCGATAGACCACGCGAATATTATATTCTTGGAGGCGTAATGCCCATCGGGTGAGGCGACCGCTTGGATCCTTCAGGGACGACAACCAGCAGAGGGCGTGGTGGTCAGTCACGACGTCAAAAGGGCGTCCGTACAAGTAAGGTCGAAATTTCTCTATCGCCCAAATAATCGCCAGGCATTCCTTTTCAGTGACGGAATAGTTGACTTCGGCTTTGCTAAGAGTTCGGCTTGCGTAGGCAACGACGTACTCTTGGAAGCCGTCTTTCTTCTGTGCAAGAATAGCGCCTAGCCCGACACCACTAGCGTCGGTGTGGATCTCTGTGGGTGCCGATGGGTCGTAGTGTCGCAGAATAGGCGGTGACGTGAGGAGGCGGCGCAGTTCATTGAAAGAATCGTCACAGGTGGCAGACCAAGCTGAAAGGTCTCTAGAGCCGGCGAGGAGCTTGGTCAAAGGAGCGATGATCGTAGCGAAATTGCGAACGAAGCGCCGGAAGTAAGAGCACAGGCCTATGAAGCTTCGGAGCTCTTTCATGGTGGTCGGTTTGGGAAACGCTGAAACGGCTGTAAGTTTGGCAGGGTCAGGATGAATGCCGTCTTTTGAAACCACGTGGCCAAGGATCGTAAGCTTTCGATCGGCGAAATGGCACTTCTTCAGATTCATTTGCAGCCCCGCGGCAGAAATACACGCGAGGACTTTCTCGAGGCGGGTTAAATGGGTTGCGAAATCAGTTGAAAAGACGACAATGTCATCTAAATAACAAAGGCAAACGTTCCATTTGAGGCCTAGAAGAATAGAGTCCATCATTCGCTCGAAAGTAGCCGGCGCATTGCAGAGGCCGAAGGGCATGACTGTGAATTCGTAAAGCCCGTCGGGCGTGATGAAAGCTGTTTTCTCGCGATCGGCCTCTGCCATGGGTACCTGCCAGTATCCAGAGCGCAGATCTAAAGAAGAGAAAAATTCGGCTCCCTGTAGGCAGTCCAAGGCATCGTCAATGCGTGGCAGCGGATAGACATCCTTGCGCGTGATTCGGTTGAGACGTCGGTAGTCCACGCAAAACCTGATGGATCCGTCCTTCTTCTTCACCAACACAACTGGAGAGGCCCAGGGACTGCTTGACGGTTCGATTATGCCACGTGTCAGCATGTCGTCAACCTGTTCATTAATGGCACAGCGTTCAGTAGTTGACACACGATATGGACGCTGCCGTAATGGCGTCTCTTGACCGGTATCTATACGATGAACAACAGATGACGCTCGACCTAAGGAAGGCTGATTGTGGTCAAACGAGGCCCGAAAACGCTGTAGGAGCTTGATCAGCTGTTCCTGCTGCCCAGGCGTGAGGTTGCAATCAATGAACTTGCGGAATACATCCATAGGTTCATTAGCGTCAGCTGCGGATGTAATGGCACAAGTCGGTAAGAATGGCTTGTCTGGATAGATCGGGTCTTCGAAAATACAATTTAAGGTCTCGAGGCTCCCCAGACACTCGCCGCGTAGCAGGATGTATGGGCAAGCAGAAACGTTGCACGCATAAAGTACCGCCGAACCATTGGAAAAGTTGATGACGGCAAACGGGAGGACGATGGTTCGGTGTTGCACACTAGCTATAGTTGGTTGGAACAGGAGCGTCGAGTTAGTGGCAGCAGGGGAAAACACAGGCACTAGGACGGCGGACAACGGCGCGATGTGGACGTCAGCTGCAGCAAACACTTTCGAGGAACTTTGGTGGTCGATATCAAGGCACGGATTCGTCAACGTGAGTTCAGCACGAGCGCAGTCGACGAGGGCCTGATGGGTAGAAAGGAAATCCCATCCTAGTATGACGTCGTAAGATGAACGTGGGAGAACAACAAAGTTGACGGCGTACCAAACATCTTGAATAAGAACGCGTGCTGTGCACTGAGCTGTCGGCGCGATGAAATGGGAGGTGGCTGTACGCAGAGCAAGATTCGTAAGCGGCGTTGTAACTTTTCTTAAATCGCGACACAGTTTTTCACTAATTACAGAAACGACGGCGCCTGTGTCGACAAGTGCACGTACAGCAACACCTTGATTGATTTGTGGGGTTTAACGTCCCAAAACCACCATATGATTATGAGAGACGCCGTAGTGGAGGGCTCCGGAAATTTCGACCACCTGGGGTT